TAATTTCTTCGCCTGTTCGTTTCCCCCTCGACACATTGATTAACCGACTGTTTTCTTTTTATCATCTACGCTAATTAACAGAATAATAACATAATAATAATAATGGGACAAAAGAGAGAAAGAGAAAATACGATTGGTGTGCAGTTAATAATTTATTGCGGATTTTTTTCGCGCCTGGCGCCAACTGCACATTTCGTTGCTCCACTTATTATCCTTCATTTCTTCTCTCGCTTCTTTGATGATCGTCGTTTCTTCGTCCTTCGCATTATCAGGCGAAAAAGGAACGAGCAGAAAGAAAAACCAATGGAATTATAATCCAATGCCAGACCTTATTTTTTTTCCACTCCGTGTAAATAGGTAAAGGATAATAGCAAAAATTTACATTCGTTCACGCATAAGACATTTTTTGTTTCATTTTCCTGAAGACTCAATCAGATCAATTTCAAGGCAATCGTTCGATTAATTTGTTTCTGTTATTTTTTTTTATTATTATTAACAGAAGTTTAGTTCAATCCAGTTTCTGGCGGTGATTGGGTCTGATTTCACAAATTGGCTATTACAGAATTTCAATTTGTGAATCGTGCGTCGAAGAGGATGGATAGATGCGACCGACGGACAGAAGCTTATGGTATGGAAAGAGAGGGAAATGCTGGTGAGAGGAGGAGGAAGAAGAAGAAAAAATATGTAAGGAGCGTAGAACTATTATATTCGGTGGTCATTTATATTCATGGGATTGCGTGTAGGGTGCCTATTTAGGTCAGAGACTTCGAGCGCTTCGTCTCTCTTAAGCGTGCGTGCCGGGCGAAGTGTGGTAGCTAATGGAGTGTACGCATAGCATATAGCATTTTAAACATTAGCGGTATGCTCGGATCTCCTCCTCGCTCACCACCGCCGCGCGTTGCTCAATTTCAGTAGCGCCAAAAAAATGACAAAGAGACAAAAAAAAATAGAAAATTAACAGAAAAAAAACAATGATTGAATAATGAATCGTAAAACACCTTAGATTACATTAGAGAGAAAGTTTCGTTCCGTCTCTTTCTTTTCACCACCTTTAGGATAGATTTCGTTCGTTTTTTTTTTCGACGAAGACCATTTTTTCGATGGTCCAGTGACCTTTTTTTCGGTCAACCTCCTCCTCGGGCTTTTTTTTTTTTTTCGTGTGATGGATCCCTAACCTGCCATAACACACTGTCCATTGCGTTGCTATATATACGGATACAAGCATATATATACACACACTCGGACATTATGTGCAAAACGGTTTATTTTTAGACGAGGCGCGCGCTGGAATTTGATCCATTAACGAACGCGCGAATGTCCGCGAAGGACGCGAGCTGAGAACGAGCGCGCGCACTTTCCAGACCGAGGAAGAACCTGAGGACACAATCGTCCTCCTGGTTTCTATCCAATCTCATAGTACAAATAGCATCGCCATCTTCATCGTGAGTGTTTTCTGCACTCTGCTTCCGTTTGATACTAAAATGGACGGCTTTGACGGCGGTTTTTTTTATGGGCCAGGTGAAGAGGCCCAGTTTTTCGGGCTGCCGCGCTCTCGGTTCATGACTATAAAACCGAAGGCCGCGCCAAGAAAACTTCGAAAACTAGGTTAACCATCGGAAAATCAAGACAAAACAATATACCCACACAATACGAAACAAAGACAGTTACTTTAGTAATTACAAAATGTCACATTTCTGACATTTTCTGGATTAATATCCTAAAACTAAGTTAATTATAAATAAATTAAAAACATTTCAAATCTAAGTCGAATTATTCTTTTTTGGGTTGTAGACAAATTGTTTAAGATGAGGTCTTCAAAAATTCAATTAACTGACGTAAAATTAACACATCCCAACATTCCTATATGAAAGAAAAGTATTTTAGCAACCATAAATAAATAAAATGAAAGTTGTTGAATTATTTAATTCTATTTATACTATAGAAATAAAATAAAGACATTCCAACTTCACAAATTATTCTAGCAACATTTTTATACGAAAATTAATTTTGTGACATAAATCACATTAAAGTTGCAGTTTTCATAGTTGTTTAATTAACTAATTTTATTTATACTTTTGAATAGTAAGCAAAATGTTTTAGGATACATTTTAACATTACATTACATACATTATGTTACATTCTAATTTCACAAAACAAAGAAAATTATTTATGCAATTACAAATAAATCAAATCAAAATGGTAGTTTTGATAGCAATTAATTATCCAAATATATGCTTCAAAAAGCAAAAATTGAAGATATTCAACATCCCTAAGCAAAGATAGTTATTTTAGCACCCACAAATAAAAAAAATCAATGTCGCAGTTGGCAGATGTTTAAATCTCTAATTATAACTATACTTTTCAATTGTAAATAAATTGAAACACCAAAAACTAAATTAATAATGCCAGAATCCCAGTAATACCTAAAAACAATACATAGCAACGACAAACCAATTAAATAATTATTGTTATTTTAACAGTTTCTTAATTATTCAATTTTTTTTACACTATTATGACCTTACTTAGCAACCACAACTAATTTAAATCATAATTATAATGTTCATAGTTGTTGAATATATATATACACTTCGATTATACAGAAATTATTTAGAGTTCAAGGAAACTCCGAAAACTAGATTATCAAATGGAAAATAAAGCGGTGGCAAACGAAATCCCGTCAATCAAAATCCCGACGCTCGAAATCCCAAGTATATCGTCTGGAGATGCCAAGTAAATGTCTGCAATAACGTTTTTAAAATATTCCGGAGCGTAGTCAGCTTTAAATTGTTATTAATAATAAATAACAACAATTAGTAATCTAATTGTATTTGGGATTATATTGTTAAGGTTTATTAAAATCAAATAAATGAATAATAATTTATTGTTATTAATAATAAAAATGTAGCGCTATAGTCGGAATTTTGATTTAGTCGGGATTATGGTTGTCGTGATTCTGATACAGTCGCGATTTCGATATAGTCGGGATTTCAAACGTTGGGATTTCGATTGACGAGATTTCGGTTGTCGGGCTTTCGATATAGACCCAAAGTAAAGATATTACAACATCCCTATAGCAATAAAAGTTGCCCTAGCAACCACATATGAATCAACAACAAATTAACATATAGTTACATTCCTGACAGGTGCTCAATTATCTGCTTGTATTTATATTTTCGGTTGTAAACAAACGCTAAACAGTTCAAGGAAAAACATTGACCAATCGTCGGGTTTCTGCTCTGTTTTGTTTTTCTTGCGTTTTTCGTTATCACGCACATTTCGCTTATTATTCAATTGAATATAGTTAACCAAGTTATGGATATTTATTTGAGTAACTCTTTAATATCTTTAATATATAATTTCTTCATTTCAAATACAATATACAATCTACAATCTAATAAAAAACAAATAAGAAGCAATGTTATAAACATCATATACAGCAATACCTCGCATAGTCTGGCTTTGATCCGTGTGGATTAATAGTCTGATTTGAAAATTTTATGATTACACCTAACGAAGAAAATATTATTAAATTTTAATTATTTATGTTTCTCAATATTCTGCTGATTGAAATTAAGTATTCTTCGTATATAATTACATCAATAGGCAAATATTTTTTACATAATTTTAAATTATGATTATTTAACGATTCTCTTTACTAAGACTGATGGAAATTAAGTATTCTTCTTTTTTATTAAGCACATATACAAGCTGTTACATAATTTCAAATCATTCTTATTCAATAAATTAATTTATATTTTATTTAATTTGATTTGTTAACATTTTTTTTAGCAAATCTCGTATGATTTAAATTAAAATTTCTGTTTCTTTAATTAAATTTGATTCCTTAACAATTATTTTTACCGAGACTTTTCTGATTTAAAATATTCTTCTTTAATTAATTTTGTGACATAATTTCATGCCAATTTAATAAATTTGTTTATTATTTTTTGTTAACTATAATTCATTTTATTTTAAAACTGGACAATTAAAATTAAGCGTTTTTCATTTACTTTCAGCTTATGGTATTAAGGCTTTTTATTGTTGTAATTATGTTTATGACTTTTAGGATTAACAGTTGGCACACCCTGTATACACCGTGAACGAAATATCTCTTGCACAACGCGTCGTATACAAATTGGCGCATGCTTTTTAAAGTTTTTTTTTTCCGGTTTCTCTCCTTCCCCGGCGTTTGCATCTTTTCGCTTTATTTTTGCCTTTTCGTTCATGTCTTTTAATTGAATCGAATTCTTTCTTTCTTCTCCTTCTTCTACTTCTTCGTTTTTTTTCTTCTCGCATGGGCACACGCACAGCGCACGGAGTTTCGTGACGCAAATTGTAGAAATTGCTCAAATATGGTAAAAACTCGGATGCCGGATCGCCATGGCAACAACAACAACGGACAAGAAAAGGAGCGAAACGTTGCGTGTTTCATTTTTATTTTTAGCACGGCTCTCATTCATTATGCGAGCGATTTTTTTTTATTCTTTTCGCATATTTTTATTCTTTCTTTCTTTCTCCTCTTTCTCTTCTCCTCGCAAACGCTATGGGCAAGTAAAACTTCTTCTCTACATTTTTTTTTGTTCGTCGGTTGTCATCATCATCATCATTATTATTATTACTTTTGGGTTGTTCGTTCTTGGAATGGGATTCGGCCACTTTTACTTCCTCGAAATTTTTGCGGTACATCTCTAAGATCCGTTAGCATGGGATAGGTCGCGAACGGTGGACGAAGATTTGAGCAAAACGTTTGCACAAAACGCGAACCGACTAAATTCAATTGATCAGGATCGATGATCAATACATTTCATTCAATTTTGATTTATTTTGCAAGTACGTATTTATTTATTAATAAGACAGGTATTCATATATTCGTTCCCCTTGCCGCCTTGACATTGTTTACCATTCAATTATGTATAAATCCGTCGTCAATTACATAACACATCGGGCGAAGCAAATGTGAACAGCCTTGGAATTTATTACTCGCGTCTGTGCCTGCTCGATCGCTCGCCTCCTTTTTTTTTGAATTTGGAAAATATTCATTTGTTATTTAATCCTGCGGCAATTGCGCCGCGACGCAGACGTCGTTGACAACCTGCAATGAAACGCACAGATGGCGCTCGAGGTTAGCGCTTTCGAGCCGTCGTGCCTGCTGCTTTGCTAACCCCAAAAAGCTTATCGAGAATCCACCGAAATGGTAAAGAAATCAACCAAAAATTTCTTCTTTAAAGCACAAATCTTCCTTGTAGACGTTCCGCACGCACGCAGCAACTGTAACCCCATCCACCCGCATCGCATGTATTTATTTTTGTAGAAACAAAAGACAACAATATAGAATTGTCGCATTGCTCAGCGACATCTAGCGTTTGATAATAGCTTATTGTTACCAGTGGCGTAACGTGTATATTTTCAACTATGTTCTTAGGATGCGATTAGGATCGAGAATTTCAACGATGGTGAGACCGTTTCCTATCCTTTGGTCCTGCTTAGAGGCTCCGCTCCCAAGGATTGCGATCAACTGGAGATCAATGATGTTAATTGTGAGGTGGTCGGCGGGAAATTTAAGCATTTAATCAATTTGAATGTGGGTGATAATTTGGTGGAGATTAAATGGGGATCGTTGAAAATAGAGGTGAGGATCCGATATGAGCCAAGAGGTAGCAATTTAGTTTTGCAGCCGCTCTATATTATCTGCGATGGACATGATGGTCGGTTTCAAGGACCTGAAGGTGTGAAAAAGAACGATGAAGGAAGCGCTCTTTGCAGGATTGACGTATGCTGTAAGCTTCTGCAGAGCATACTTGCAGAGAAGCTGCACGAATCCGGGTACGGGAGGAAGACTATCAAAGTAGAGAGTTGTCAAGTGTTCTATAGCAAGATGAGCAGCGCATCGGTTAAAGAGATGCAAGAAGACGAGCTTTGGGCGGCTCTAGGTCGCGAGATTTTGGGGTCCGAAATTGGAAAGCCTCAGGCAAAGTACTTGGGGTTCCTCTCCTGCACGGAGTATCACGGAGATAGATACAAAGTGGAGGAGATGAAGCTGCACGAAGATCTGTTGAAGATCACCGACGTATATGTGGCTCTGGGTGGAGGCGGTTTGGCCATCTTCGGTACAGCTTGCCTCTACACCTGGCCAGAGACTACTGATGATATCCTCAGCAGGTTCAAGGATCAAAGACTAGTGGACAGAACGCGGTTCTTGGACGACAGCGCGTACAGGTGAAGCATCTCCACGTTTATTTATGCTAAATTTATATTAACTTATTCCCAACGCGCAGGGGAACGTTGGGAGCGTGCTTCTCCACGACCCTCGGCTCAACCCTGCATGAACTATGCCATACATTCGACCTGGGGCATACTGACATCGGTATTATGTCCAGAGGTTTCGACAATCTGCATAAGGTCTTCCTGCAAGAGGAGGACGCTGAAAGATCGCTGCCACGGTTAGAGACGGTGTGCGATGAAATGGTGAGCATTAAGCTGAAGGAGGCGGAAAGCAGATCATTCATACGAAAGGCGGACTTCTCCGACGACGTCATCAATAGACCAATCTGCTTTGATGAAACTTGCTTCACTAAGAGCTCCGCATGTATACTGGCCTATCACAAGTAAACCATTAATCAACCAAAACATTAAGTCATTTACATATTATTAATTTTCAGATGGTTCAACGATTACCCTGACGAAAGGAAATACGTCCTAAGCTACGATGCTTCCATGAAACTAGTGAAGTCCACCTTGGGCATTCGAGTCATCGAAGTTCGCTCTGGCGAGGGCGGCCACGTCATGGCTAATTGGTGTTTCACCGGAAAAATCCTCAGATACAACTTCCAATTGGATCCCCTGGACTTCGGTAGCTCATCCTCTCTCTTCGTCGAGGACAACTACGGCAACATCCTGAAAGCCAATATCTATTAGATATCAACCCATCCGGTTATTCCGTGCCAATGCTAGATAAATTTCTTTATACGACAAAATCAAGTGAGATTAGACATAGTATATTTGTCAGTTTCCTTACGAAAAAAAAGCATTATATAGACTGAGATTTAGGGACTTTCCATTCTTTAATATTATTATATTTGGGGCTTCCTCTTTACGACTGTTATTGTTGTTTTATTCTTCCTTTTATCCTAAAAATAAATATTGGTGGATGTCAAACTGAATTAAATATATCCTATTAAAGATCAAGGACGCGTCAGTGTCACTTTTATCTGTTGCTTGTTTTTTTTTAATTGGCAATGGGTGAGGAGATTAATTATTCGGGGTTGCCGCAAAAATATTTCGGGCCTTTCGAAGTGGTCATTCACAATCGCCCAGAAGATTGCTGGGTGTCGTTGCTTGGGAAAGTGTTGAATATCACTCCATTGATTAAAGGTAAGAGACGGAATAATCTTAAGACGTTTGTTGATTACTTGTCTCAAGAGCACGAATCAGAGGATTGTGTTAAGCCGTTGTTGGCATTCGCCGGGAAGGATATTAGTGATTGGTTCGATCCCCGCGACGGCGACATTCTGCATTACGTGCATCCGGTTTCCGGGTGTCACGATCCGTACATCCCGCATGGCAGGATCCCGGACGTGGAGGTTCAGGTACCCGCCACCCGGTGGCAGCCGCTAGACCGGAAACCGTGGTGGAAGGACCCCAAGTACGAGGTCGGTTTGCTCACGAAGAAGGTGAGACCTATAAGGATTATCAATCCACTTTTTGGGTTAGAGGTGCACATGAACGTGTGCTGCGAGGATACCGTGCTTAGGATCAAGGAGAGGTATTCCATCTTCAATTCAGATGCAAACATCTACCTCTGGAGGCAAGTTAATTTATTATGCTATTTTTATATAATAAGATTTTTATATATTCTCGAGTACATTAAGTTAAATAGTTGTTTTTGTTTATACAAAATATAGATATATGGATAACGTGTTAAATGATGAGCTGACGCTCGAAGAGAACGGCATCATCGACGAGACAGACAGGTTCGGAAGCGTGGGGCTGTCGCCGACGTTCTACGTCCCCGCGATTATGATCTTCTACAACGACGAGTTTAGATGGTTTAAAAACGAAGATTGCATTGAAATGTTGAAGAATTGATTACACAAATACAGACGCGACTATCCTTTGATGACAGCGATCGGTCTGAGTTTAATGGCCTTCTTGCTGATGCCAGCAGCGTGACACGTGTCAACGACGTCAGTTACATTCTTATAGGATTCTGGAGCTTCCTCCATGACAAGCTTAGGCGAGGCGACTCGGATTGAGATGCCGATGCTCTCCAGCTTCTTCAACACATCAGTATATTCGATATTGCGGCGAGATTTGGCTCTGGACAAGGCACGACCCTGCAAATTTTAGTTTATTATTTATTCTTGTTATGAAAATCAGTAGTAGAGTTCTTACAGCTCCATGGCATGTGGAACCAAAGGTTTCCAGCATTCCCTTCTCGGTACCGGTGAGCACGTATGAACATGTTCCCATGGTACCGCCGATGAGCACCGGTTGTCCGGTCAACTGATAATCGACAGGGATGAGAGGATGGTGCGGTGGGAAAGCTCTAGTTGACCCCTTCCTGTGGACCAGCAACCTTTTGGGTTTACCGTCAACTATATGCTCCTCTTCCTTCGCGATATTGTGCGACACGTCGTAGATGACGTGCATGTCGAGATCATCCGGAGAAGTATTAAATTGCTTAGCGAATGCCTGTACGAATTGCGGATTTAAATGTCTTTCAAATTAGTTAGTGGGTTGATTTACCTGTCGCGTAAGGAAGGTCATCGAGCTGCGGTTCACCCACGCGAAATTTGCAGCCGCTGCCATGGCTTTAAGGTAATCCTGGCCTTCTGTAGAATGGATCCTCGCGCAAGCCAGCTGCCTATCATTCGTTACGATGGTGTCACGTTTCATAGCCTTTTCCATCTGCACTAGAGCGTCCGTAGCCACTTGATGGCCAAAACCCCTGCTGCCGGAATGAATCATAACGCACACTTGACCCTTCTCCTCGATACCCATTTTACTGGCAGCCCATTTATCGTAGATCTCGTCCACCACTTGAATCTCTGCGTAATGATTACCCGCCCCTAACGTTCCCAGCTGCAGAAACGAAGTGTCAGATAAATCAATCAGTAAAATCAGTTTGAATTACCTGCGGTAATCCTCGCTTCTTGGCTCTCATGCTGACTTTAGAAGGATCGGCATTCAACATACGTCCGTATTCCTCACAATGCTCCTTATCCTCTGCCCAGACGTAGCCTTCCCTCAAGCTCCAATCCATGCCCATCTCAAGCGCCTCTTCCAAATCTTTAGCGTTCATTGGAATAATACCTTTGGATCCTACGCCTACCGGAATATGATCAAACAGACTCTGAGCAAGTTGCTCCTTGACTGGCTGCACATCCTTCTCAAATAGATTCGTCCTGAGCAGTCTCACCCCACAATTAATATCAAACCCAACACCACCTAAAACCATATTGCACAATTACTATAACCAACCAATTGAAATGATCAGCATACCTGGTGAAACAACTGAATCAGGATTATCCATGTCAAATGCTGCCATATTTCCTATGGCAAAACCATATCCAGAATGGATATCGGGTAGTCCAACAGATCGTCCAACTATCCCAGGTAAAGCAGCAACATTAGCAATCTGCTTGACACCTGGTAGGAATCCACCTGCCATTCCTGGTCTGCACGCATTTCTAAGCTCTTCCAGCATCAGCTTTTCTAAAGTTGAATTCACATAGAAAACACCTTCCACATTCATATTGGGTTGAAACCCTTTCTTAATCCGCCAACAATGTGAATTGATCTTCTCCAGATACTGCAGTTCATCCTCATATTTCCTTACAACCATAATTGTAAATCGAGCTACAAATATTTTATACGATCGTTTCGGCAATACTGTGCAATACCCTGAAATAATATAGGTTATGGCAATATGTCAGTACTAAACGAACTACTTTCAAGTAGGTCATTTGAACGAAACTCGCGGCGCGCATTTTGAATTTCAACAGCGGTTCCCAAAAGCACAATCCAAGACTTCTTTCAACGGATTTTTTTGATGTAAGAAAATAAAGACAAATCGCATAATCGTTAATATATCTTTATTATATAATTTGTTTTACTATACACAGTAGAATAGAATTTTACATTAAAATACAATATATATATTTTTTCTTTCTTTTACGACTCGAATTAAAAATTAGTTTGGCATAAATATATATTCTATTCACGATATTAATAATATTAATTTACGCAACGTCTTCGTTCTCCCCGCAATTTCCAATCTTAAATCATAAGAAATGCGAAATAAAAACAGATGAGCGTCGCTTGTTACGAAAGCCGCGTGACACTATTAAATAAGAAATGATAAGAAGAATGTACCTGCAAATACTTGGTTACTCTAATTGCGTTTCAATAAAATATATATATAAAAAAAAAATAATTACTTTTGTTCATATACGTTTAGCACCTTCTCCGCTGACGTCTACCCATAACAACAAAAAAATCAACGTAACATAAACATATATATATATAGTTAAAATAGCAGTTGCCTAGGTGATTGAAGAAGGAAATAGAATAAAAAAAGAAGATTATTATATTTGATGTCATCCAGTGTGCGAATAATGATGTGTGTGATTTTGTTTTCATTAGTATCTTGTTCTCCCCTTCTGCTTTGTCGGTTTTGTTTCAGCCGAAGAGTTTGTCGAAGCACTGGTGGCAGTACGGCTTCTCGTTCTGCTCTTTGAAGGTGCCCTTGTTCAGCTGCTTCAGGCAGAAAGCGCACACGAAATGCTCCGGATGGAACTTCTTAAGCATCGCGGTGATGCAGCGACCGCCAATCGGTTTGTGACAACCGGCGCACAGCGATCCCCTCTTCTGATGGTAGTGGGTTTCACAGTACGGAAGACCCTCGTGATCGAAGAATGAGCCGCCTGCAAACGGCTGCTGGCAATCCTGTTAACGACAATAACAATTATAATCTGTTTATAAATTTTTGTTATAGAAAATAAGAGTTTCAAAATGTGGTGACTTGGAAAGAGGATTCGAAAATGGGATTTCTCTTCACAAAAGTGAATTTCATAGATCAGGCAGGTTTTGTCAATATTGAAAACATAAATTAAAAGAGATTGATGATAGCAATATATTTTCAAATATTGACTTTCTTCGACAAATTTTACTAATTACTTTTAGAAAAGCTCTTCACAACACGCAATTGGTGGATGCGCCGGGGCTCCAATTCAAAATTTGATTAATTTAAATAAAAAGCTACATTTTATGAAATAATAGAAAAGAGAATAAGAAAATCGTTTAAATTTGAAGTAAATATAATTTTCATATTTGATGTTTTTTTGTCGTGTGGATGCGCCGGGTTCTATAAACTAATTATTTTCTTAGAAAAATAAATTGGACGCATGTTTAAATAGATTTAGAAAGAAGTGTGCTTCTCTTGTTCCAAATAAATAGAGAGTAAAAAACAACAAAACAATGAGGATGTTATGAATAATTGATCCATTCTGGCACCGAGAACATTTCCTCTAACCTAAATCCTAACTGATTTGAGTATAATTGGTGTAGAGAAGATGAGCGAAAGTGCCAGAAAACGCTCGTTTCGCGTAAATTTATCTCCCACTCTTTGCGTTCAGTCGATATACCAGTAGGTTTCTGCTCACTTGAAATCGCTTTTTTTATTAGCATTATTAAGCGTACACAAGTGGAGCGTGGATCTAGTTCATGAAGGCCGCAAATAGCCGCCCCCGGAGAGCAAAAGAGAGAGACAAAGAAAGACATAAGAGACGGAGAGATCATGGTGGTTACGCAACGCTGCGCTAAAAATATCGTCGACCTAATAAAAGAAAATCCGCGCCAAAAATAAAATGAACACAAAAACAAACTCTGCCTCTTCGCGGTGCTTCCACCGCACCCGCCGCCACCCCGCAACGTACGTTCCAATTTGCGCTACTCAAGAAATCGGAGAAGACGTTCGTTACGGGTGGAGGAGGGAAAAGGGCAAAGAGATCAGCGAAGAAGTAAAAGAAAACAAGTGTTGCAGTAGAAGGGGAAAACATGATTAAATTGAAGCGACCAGGTCGTGACTGTTTTTTTTTAATATTATATACAAATATAAATATAATAATTCCCTATTTTTTTTGTCGTTCCAAATTTCTTTTATATATAAATAGATAAAGCTTAAAAGTAACAAAATATAATAATAAATATTATGTGTGGAGATAAATATATATATTTTATAGTGTGCGAGAAAGAGATAGAAAGAGAGTGCTATTGAATAATGATGTATGGGGAGCCAACAGATGGCTGAGATTCTAATGTTCTTGTTTTTTTTTTATCAAAAGTCGCCTCTCCTCTGACGTGCGTGTTTAACATTTCTTTCTCCAATTGAATTATAGTTTTTGGTTCATTTTATTAATTGGCGGTTGTTTTTAGATTTGCTCTGCGGATTTTCTATCATTCATTCATATCGAATTGCATGAGATGATGACGAGAAGGAGGGAATTGTCTATTCTTCCTCCTCCTCCTCTTCCTCGTCGACTCCGATGCACTTGGGACAGACGGGTTTTCCCTCGACGGCGTAGAAGGATTTTCCTTGCACGGCTTGCTTGCAATCCTTGAAATTTATGTATTCATTTTATTATTATTGTTATATTGTTTGTTGTTGTTTGATTAGATTAAAGAAGGTGGAATGTGTTTTCGGATATGCATTTGATGAGGATGAGGAGAAAGAGGTGGAGGAGGACCTTACCCTGCAGACGAAACAATCGGGATGCCATTGGGCGTTGAGGGCCGAGATGTAGTTCTCCATGATAGCCCTGTTGCATGCTCCGCACTTTGGTGCGAACATGTCGAAGTAGTCGTCCCGGCAGTAGGGCTTTCCCTCGCGCTCGTGGAAACCTTCATCTCCAAACTGCTTGCCGCATTGCGCGCAGAAGAAGTGCTCCATGTGCCAGGTCTTCTCTAAGGCGGTCACGCATTTCTGGTACGACAATTAGAGTTTGTTTAGATCGGTGCGAAATAGCGATGCTTTTTCGTGTCTTACGTCCAAAATGGGTCCGTTGCAGTAGGCGCACCTGGGGCTGAACAGGTTGTGGTAATCGTTCTCGCAGTACGGCTTTCCATCGCGCTCAAAGAAGTTCCTCGTTCCCAACTCCTGCGTGCAGTGAGAGCAGGTGAAGTGCTCAGGGTGCCAGGTTTTACCCAAAGCGGTGATGACCTGCCCCACGATCGGCTTCTCGCAAGCGCTGCAGCATCCCTTCTGGCTAGTGTTAACTCCTTGACGACTCATATCCGCTTGTAAATTTCCTAGCATATGATCCAAGTTCTGTTTCTGAGCGGCCGCCTTCTCCGGACGCGCGTACACCGAATCGGACACCGTCTGCTTACTCACCTGCATGTCGTCCCCAAAACGCACATAAAATACAATAAAAATCAACGAAATAAAAAAATTAGTTAATCAACGGTATAGAAAAGGTGCAAACCTAAGTAAGTGTTCTTGTTATTATCCCTTAGGATTTGCCACTATCAACAACAGATAGACAGCAAAGTTTCTGGTGTCTGTTCGTTAAGTGTTTGCTGGAAACTGAACGAGCTTCCAACGAATTCCCATAGAAAAGTTATATGGGATACCCCCCTCCCACCAGCGCGCTTTCCCCCCCACGAATTCCCGAAAAATAGAAGGAAGAAGAAATTGAAGAGAAAAATACTGCTCAAAAATCGAAGGATCGAGAGAGACGGAGGAGGAGACGGGCTATATTTTTTTTTCCTCCAACGAAAACTCGCCTTCTCCCCGCGATCCTCTCTTTTCCGCGCGCGCTTTATTTTTAGAAGGCGACACACGCGTACGAAAAATATGCAATGCATTAGACACGAAAGAAAGAAATCGAAGAAGAAAAATATATACACACGCTCGTATCTATCACATATTTGTAATGGTCGAAATTGATTGGGTTTTTTTACTTTGCCATCACCTTGACGTTAATTACGATGTGCTAGATGATGGATGAGTCTTGGTGACCGATTAACGAAGGGTCGTCTTATTTCCAAGAAAAAAAACACAATGATAAAATAGAATATTATTACCGCAAACCCAAATCATCCGTGGATCTCAAATATCATCGTCACAAATTCATTGATTAACAATTTCTTTGAAAATATTTCATATTATGTAAATGTTTTGGCAACAAAGCGCACCGGCCAACTGCAATTGGACTCTGTTAAAAATGTAACGGGTACGTTCGCATTATAAATACAAGTTTTTGTTCCTTACATATTTTTTCTTAGATAAATGAAAAAGGAATGTGGTAAACATCCAAATAGGTGTATTGGTAATAATAATATACAGCGATTTTTGGTGCACTCAATTGCCATGTGTCGTAGGCACGTTTCCAAGCGGTTGGGGAGGTTCCAATGCGGGGCCGAAAATAATTTATTATTACATGCACACAATATTTCCATCTAGAAAATGGAATTTTCGCGAACAACACCATTCGACGCTGCGTGTAGACGCTCACACAGGTGGTTGATATTGAAGCCGTTGCTAAGAAACCGTATAATGTTGCTACGACTTTAGATATAATTAGCACTTCGCTTACCTTGATCTCGGATAGGGTGTCCATCAGGTCATCCAGTTCTCTAGTGGCGTTGGAGGCGGCCGGTGGCGGCGTCGAACGCACCTGAGACACGTGTCGCGTGACCAGCTCCGTCTCTCCAGGATAACCGGCCTCCGTTTTCGTCTCCTTCACGGTGATCGTAACCTTCCTAGGCCCTTGGTAGAACACTTCGCTGCAATGCAAAAAAAAACATTTATATTCTGAATACTAGACCAAAATCCCGAAAATCGAATTCCCGACAATTAAAATCCCGACATTCGATATCCAGACAATCTACTATGTGAATAAAAAAAGAACATCAATATTCTATTGGTTAAAGTAAAACCTGTGTTTTATATCTACGCTACATTAAAACTATCTAGTTAATTAGACACATTTGCAAAAATGAATATTTTTGAAATAATTCCGTCACAAGATTCCGTCCGAGATTTTGATAATGTCGGGACTTTGGTACTGTCGGGATTTCAAATATCGAGAATTTGATTGTCGATATTTTGGTTGTCAGGATTCCATATACACGAGACGGGATACAATGAAAATTTTAGTATCTAGGCAATGTGTTAAATGTTGAAAACTTTTAAACATTGTATTTTTTTTATGTCGTGTTATTTTATTTACAATCTGTTCAACAATGTGAACATTGAGTAAATTTAAGATCGCGGTTGACATTAGGTAGGTAATCTTTCCCGGTGGTTAGTTTACCATTATGATGCTTAGATTTTTAATTTGTTGGTTGGCTGTCATCTTGTAGGTTAACTTCAATAATATATTGATGCTCTGCGATTCCACTATTTCTTTTCACTGTGAATCTGCTGCTATCCTTAACACTGTCATTGTCCATCGACTTGGCTGAAGGTCCATATGCTGAACCTCATTCATTTCACTGTCCATCTGTGATGAACGATGGCCCTATTGCTGCAAGCACCGAAAGGGCTCACGAAAAGGCCTGGCTTTGACCAGGATGCGAACTGGCGACGTTTGATCGTGGGTAGGGCGACTTAACCATTCGGCTATTAGTCGCCCTAAACATTGTATATAAGGAATTTAATTTTGCGTCGCACAAAAAGTAGATGGACACGTCGCAGAAGAAGTGAGATAAGTTAATAGGCCCTTTGATGGAATTTGTGGGCCCCAGGCAAAATTTTATATGGAGGACTCAAGCACTCAAATGTTAGTTTGAAAAGTTTTTGTCTTAGTTTTCAAGTTCAAAAAAAAAATCTAATCTTTGTATCCTAGGCTAGGTTAAGTGAGGCTACCCACTTAACCTATCGTTCGCAGAAACATACTTATACCAACGCACACTTTACCGACATCATTTGAATATTTCAATTATATAACATTTATGTTACATTTTTCTAGTTAATCCAATAATGAGTTTTAGAAAATAACACATCGGAAGACAAATTCTGCGTGCACAAATGGTGATTAGATTGTTATTGTGTGATCGTACGAGCATATACGAATTTAAGTTAAGTGAACGCTGACTGTATAAGCTTAAATTGATAGTTAATTAGATGGAAAGATTGGCTACATAATAGAGATAACCAGAGATAGATGTATATGTTGATAGAGAGAGAGAGTCCTTGGGGCGTTCGGTGCCAAAGTCGCGGAGGATTTTATTTAAATTTTATATAATAATAACTCGCCCTCGCCCCCGTCTCCCCCTTCGTTCTTCTTGTGGGGGGAAGCGGCGGGAGGCGCGGTAGGTAAAGGCGTGCGCGAGGAGTTAAATACGGCTCTTTGAAATAATATAATATATCTCGAATTTGACAATAACATCACGGGCAGAAATAACGTGGATGCTATTTTCGGACGGGACCCCGCGACTATATTTATATTCATCCTTTTCTCTTTCGCGGTGTTCAAGCTTCCTCGAACGATCCGATGATGATTTAATGATGTATATTCTTTCGATAATATTCTTTCGATTCTTACCCGGCGTTGAGTTCGTCCAGGAGGCTGTCAACTGTGGGACGGTTGGCGGTCTGAGAGCTCGGCCTAGATGTGTAAGCGGCGGCGGGGCTGTCACCACCGGAACCACCCTCGTGCCCATTCATAGCCGAACCGTTACTTCCGACGGTCTGATTGGCGTAGATGATGTTCGCTGACATTGCGTTTCCGCTGGACTCGTTGGCGGTGCTCAGATCCTGCAAAAGACTGTCCAACTCCGACAGGTTGTTGCTGAAGGGTTTCTTCGGCGGCACGACAGGGCTACGACCGCCGGATGTTGGCTGCGTCCTTCCGTACGTTCCCTAAACAAAACAAATATTAACATTAGTACAGACATATAACTAACCCTTTCATTAACATATTGAAAATGTCAATGAGTAATTGAATAAAATAATCGTCTCATCCCCACAGACAACTCTAGAAAATAAGTTAACTTGCTTCAAATAGTCCGTATTCACTACAGTTCGTAAAGAAAGTTTCAAAACAAAAATGACCCTATCTGTACCTTTAGTGGATGTTCCAATAAAAATAAATTTCGTATAAATATTTTGTACAGTTGGCAAAGGTCTTAAATAAAATGAAGCTGTTAGACTTCATAATTGGAAAACGCATTAAACAGATTAAGTGAATTTTAGTATCGTGACATAAAACTAAAATTAGCATTTCAAGATCATCTATTTTTATGCATTAAATTTTCCGAAAGAACTGTTGATGAAATTGAGATCTTATAAGATTGCAGAGTAAATACTTTATTTGATCTCAAGAAAGATTCAATTGAAGTACGTAAAAATGTAATGAGAGCGTGTTTGAATTCAACCTTAGAGTAATAATTAAGTATTACCTACTTTATAAACAAAAGGAAGAGAAGAAACAATGAGAAATTAAATAGCACCATAAGATACTAACGAAATTAGACAGGTCGTGAAGAAAGAAGAAATTGAATACATATTTAAAATATTAGTTGAGACTTGTATACCTAATTTCATTATATAATTTATGTAGTTCAAAATTCAATTATAATTAGATCATACAAATTTACATTTGTAAATTACAAATTATCTTTGAAAGTAATTACGTTTAAATTATATTGATTGATTGATTTTATACAGAAAATACTAACTAGTGTCCTACAATAATTGTTTTTATAAAAGTTCGAGTATACATTAAGTTAAATTAATGTTACATAACTATACATATAATGATACTTAACAAGTTATTTAAATATCACTTAAGCTGTTAAACATGTCACAACATAATGTCCATGTTTTAAATAGATACTCTTTTGCGGTGTCCTCTACAACGTCTTCTCTACGAAAAACGAAGGTTGAAACAAATATCGAAGCAATGCCAACAATAACAAAAGCCATTCAAATAATGAGGAAACGTATATGCACGACCTCCACAGTTAAATATCAACAGATTAATCTAGAAAGAATACAAGTTGCTGCGCATCATCTTTGACAAAACAAAAACACAACAAGTAAATCTGAAAGCATTTTCAGAACTGTGATTGTGCCATTCCTTTCATCTTTTCGAAATAGTCTTTTTGACTATAAAAATTGCATGACTGAGTATTTAACATTTTCATTTGTAACTTATTGCTTTTTCGTAGTAAACTCTGTACAGAAGACGAAGTTAAGTCTTCTCGTTTGATTTTACTTCTTCGAGGAAAATCATGATTTGCTTTCTGTTATAACTACTTTTTCGCATCTGATTGAAAGCTGAAAACAATAGTAGTAGCATTCGCCTAAAGAAGTGAAAATAAATAAACAAGAGAGGAACCACCTGTCGGATCAGTTTCCTAAATTCAAGTTCAAATTGTTCTTTGAAATGAAAACAGTTATGACATTCATCACCTATCGAATCTACTCATTTTCCTAAATGTAAGTTTTTAATAAAATGTGATTTTTCAAATTACTTGATTAGATATTTGACATTGATATTTCGTTTATTTGTAACAAACAAACAAAAGCTGCTTCTCTGCATGAATTGATGAAAATGAGACTGACACCATTTACGAAATTCGCCCGAAAAAGTGAAACGAAGTAAATTATCGGATTTGTTCAATTTCTTATATATTCATTCTTACTAGTTTTTGGTCGATCAAATGTTATTTTTCTATTATATAAATTACATGACATTATAACTGACATTGACATTTGGTTTATCAACAACAATACAATTTTTTCCGATTATGACGTTCGACTGAAGAAGTGAAACGATAAACTATGTTTTTTCTAAATTTCCAAATTACATAACTATATCTTTTGGCATTGTAATTAACATTGAGATTTGGCATGTCAACAGCAAATATCAAATTTCAATCTTTTCTGCAGATATCAAGTGGAGGCTGAAAACAATTGTGACATTCATCCGAAGATGTGAAACGAAGAGACTGCGTGACGGACAACTACCCTAACTGCTTGTTCGCTTGAATTTGAAAAATCACATTTAAAATGTGATTTTTCAAATTTTCTACTTCAAAAAAATTATAACATTTTCTCGAATCAAATCTAGTCAAATCCTATTTGTAAGTTCTGTCCTTTTTTTCCTATTGGCGATTATTCAATTACCTTGACTAAATATATGACCTTAAAATTGACATTATGTTTTTCAGCTGAATAGATAGATGAAATGGAGGCAGAAAACATGAAATTCGTTTGAAGAAGTAAGATGAAGTGTGGAAGTGAGGAAGTTACCTGACGGTTAGGATCTGAACAGTTTCTTGAATGTAAGTTCAAACTGCTTATTCGCTTGTAAAAATGTGACTTTTACTTGATTTTTTATTTTCAACACGAAATAATAGTTACTCCTCTGCACATACCAATAGGATGCTAAAAACAATCATGACATACGACTGAAGAAGTGAAAGGAAGAGAACGAATAAGGAACCACCTGTCGGATCGGATCTGACAGGTGGTCGTCGCTGCCGACGCTGATTCCGTCTTCTATGTGCGAGTGAGCGATGCGACGACTTTAACATCAATTGCAACCCTTCCAAGATGATCGGATGTTGTTTGGTTTGGTTTGGTTTGGCGGCGCAAGATTTTTATGTTATGTTTTTGGTGAGTGTGTGTTAAAATGCGTGTCTCTCTCCCTTTTTGGTCCGATTCAGGATCGTTCGCTGAAACGGAGACGGGCGCACGTTTGGGGGCAGGAGGCGGTCGTCAAGAAACGACCGGTGGGACGGGACGGGGGGCGCACGCGGTTTTTGCGCACCGCCCGCCCGTAAACATTGCACACGAAGATCGCGGAAAATTCGGTAATTTTAAACTGAAACGCCCGCCTCTACAGCCACCGCTTTACTTTTACAACCGCAGAGACGGAGACAGCAATACACCAGGACTATTGAAAATAGATCCAATTTTTTTACCAGTTCTTCTTGTAGTATTTTCAGTTCCTAATCTCTGCTAAATCTCTCCAACAAAAGCCAAAACACCTGTCAGCATCAATCGATGATCATGTTCGGCAGTTAAAAGCGCATTAATTTAACCAACGACCGCGCACAATGTTTGAAAACATTTTGCAATCGTTAGGTGCATGATAAATACTCAGTGGAGGCGTGGAAACGCGTACGAACAAACATTGTTACCGAACCTTTATAAATTGTTCTCACAACATCAAAGAAAATTCAGTTTTCATAAAATATCCTAAAAACTAAACATTTGTCAATTTACAATTCATTTCACATTTTTATATATGAAATTAATAACTATGACCATATATGGAATAAATTAAAATAATTTATAGAATTAAATATTGATAACAAAAACATTATTTTTATTATTGTATTAAGTTTTTCATTTTATAATTTATTATTGCAATAAAAAATATTATTAAAAGTATTAAATTATTTCATTCAGTTAATGAAAACTATTACAATTATTAAGTAAATGTTTGCTTAAAATGCATGTTTTTTTTCAAATTGTTATTATTCGCAAATATTTAAATATGTAATTAACGTATCCGCGTTTTGTACAGTCATACCTCGCTTAACGTTACCTCTGATAACGAAGCTTCGATATAACAAAGTCCGCAATTTCAGTCATCTCTTTTGTTGTTGAACAATGCTTCGCATAATAATATTTTTACCTCAGAAAACGAAGTTTCCCCTCCTTCCTATTCGTTAATCGAGGAATGACTGTAGTATATTAAAACTGAAGTCTATTTCGTTTCAAGATTCGCGCTGACCGCGCAAATTATATTTTTATTAATTGGGTCAATGGCAGCGCTGGTTGCCGTAAAGGTTCTTCTATTTTATTATTTTGTTTTTCAAAGTCCGCGATGATTTCACTCATTCATTCATTGCGTCTTCGATAAATGGAAATTTTCCATTTCCCATTTTAATCGAATTATAGAAACTGATAAATCACGGCCTTCGCGATGAGTCAGGGCAAAAGGCCAAAAATGAAAAAAAAGAAAAACATTCTAATTTTCATTATGTTTTATTGGTTAATTAAGATAGGCTTATAATTAGTCTTGACACGGATAAACTTGAAAAGAATGCATCAATCATAATCAACTATATAGTTGTATGTAACTTTAACGTAATTTTACTTTATCTGCGGTTCAGAAATAGCATTGAAATATCCGACGTGATTCATTTTGTTGTGCTACTTAATATTTATTTTCTAACTAAATTAAAGAAAATGAAAACATTCGGATAATGTATTTATTAATTATCAACCATTAGCAACTTAATGAAGATGTAGTAGTAAGTTGTGTTGACACAAATAATCTTGAAGAGAATTCATCCATCAAAGTCATTACAGTTCTATGTAACTTTAACGTCATTTTATTTAATCTGCGGTTTAGAAAGAATATTGCCATGATTCATTTCCTATTTAATACAATAATACCTCGCACAGTGCGAATAATAGGTTTTACCAGTATCCCCTACTATTTGAAACCAGTCTAATCGAGGAATTAAATTCAGCAATAGTGTTGGCAATTGGTTCCTCCAATTTCCAGCACTGTTTAAAACCGGACAAATCGAGGATTTTAAAGCCGCATAAGTATAAACGTATCAACCATTATTTTTCTCAATTAAAAGATAGTTTGTTTTCAAAATTTCAAACCGTACTATAATGAATCCGTACTGTTCGAAGACGCACTATGTGAGGTATTAATGTACAGTGGGACCTCGCATAACGAGCATTCCGCTTAACGAGCAAAATTATTTGTAAAAAAAATGACTCGCTTAACGAGCGAAGTTTTGCATAACGTTGAGAAGAAAAGTCCCGGATCGCGCGACTGTTATATCATTTTTAAAACTTGTGTACACATATTATGTATGTATTTTTGAATCTGTTTCACTATACGAGTATCCGTTAAGCGAGGTTCCACTGTACATACAAAAATATAAGCCACAAAAAAAATACTGCATAAAGCGAAAAAACTTTGATGTATAAAATAATTAAATTATATGCCATGTTTCATTTTGTCACAACAAACGAATATTTATTTTTTTTTTAAAGTTAACAGAAAGAAAACTTTCCTATATTTTATTAAATAATTACTCATGACAAAAACACAAAATAAATGCATCAATCACAATTATTCATAAGTTCGTGACATCTAACATTAATGTGTTTTTGTTTCATACTTGATTCTCAAATGCTTTAATGATATTTTTATGACGCCATGACTAATTTTGCTATGTTTTTTAGTGTGAGTGTACGTAATCAAACAAAAAGAAACGTTCGTAATTAAAGTACAGCAATACCTCGCATAATGCGTAAACGGACTAAAACACATAAAAATAAACAGTACAAATTAAAACTTGACTTTATAGAGAAAAAAAGGAAAATTTATGTTTGAAAAATAATTTTGTCTACTAATTACTTCGGTTTTATTTTTATTATGCTCAATTAAAATTTGGTTTCTTATAAAATTTTCAAACTATACTATAGTAAATACGCACTGATATAAACCGCACAAAACATAACGTTAGAAAAAAATATACATCGATTTTCGGACAATATTTAAGTTTCACAACATAACTGGTAGTCAGAAATATAAGATTTAAAGGTTTCAGTTTTCGAATAAATTGGAGTTTCAAACAGCCTTTAGGAACGAATTATGTTAGACAACGGATGTTCCACTATACAAGACAAAATAAATACATCTATAGAAATCCAGACATCTCATAACTTCATATCATTTGTCTTTAATTGCAGTTTTACAATTGTTATTAAAATTAAATGTATACTTAATAACACCATTAATATTTTATAATGATATTTACTATATAAGTAAATCAAACTTTTGTTGATACATTCAAATTTGAGAAAAGGCACCTCAAAAATAATGGAATAAAGTATATAAATAAATAATCATTTAATCGCAAAAACCGGTGTGAAATTATTAAAACGAAGAAAGTCTTTACGGGCAGCAGCCCATGACCCCATTCGATCAAAGGGCTCTCAAACGGTGTTATCTAAGAGACCACGAAGAATATTAGGCGAGGACCCTCAGTGTTAGTTGAGGTCCCAGATTAAAGAAAAGCATTTATAAAACAATGAAATCTTATTACCGTCGTTTTGTGTAATTATATCTTATTGAATAAATACAAATAATTATCAATATAGCTTTGACATCTCAAATTACAGTTGATTTGCATAATTAGTGTCTTTCGATTATAAAGAAAATATGCGCCATCTTGAAAGACGCCATGACTCATTTTAATACGCTAAATAAAAATTTGCTATTGTGAAAAACGCCATGTCTATTTTTATTATTTAATATTTATTCTACTTATTTCATACATAATATCAACAATGTTGACATCCATCAGATGATAACAAATCAATCAAAATGATAAGGAAGCAATTTCAAACACTTCTCAAAAAAGAGTTTGACTGTAGGCCACCAAATTTACATGGTGAAAATTTGGCGTGGGACAATCATCAACAGATGGCGGATAAAAAAAACATTGAGAAAATCACTCACCGTTTTCGTTGCGTACGTGTCGTGGCGAATCTCGTAGGAGGCGGCAGTCGGTGCCGAAGGTGGCGTCGGTGGAGGAGTCGCGGCTGCTGAAGGTGAGCTGCGCGGATGCTTCAAAGAGCCGTAACCAGGGGAACTTGAGCCAGCAACCGTCGAACTGGGTGCCACCGTGTTCTGCAGGTCCGCCAGGAGTGCGTCTGGAACGAGAACAAGAACTACTATGACTACAACTGTAAAACATATCCCTGTGGTTATTATTTCCGGTTGATAAGCTTGGATTCGGGATTAATTATGAACCGCAGTTTTTGGTTTTTTTGAATGATATATTTATAGCAATTCTGCAAATTAAAATGAGTTTACTTATCCATTTAGCGAACAGTATTATACCAATGATTTTTGTATTAGATTCCCTCAAATTTAATTGATGCTTCGTTAATCATATTGAAATAAATGTTTAAATTAATATCAATTATTTGTCAGTACATAACAAATTTATAAATAATTTTCCTGTTTCGCCGCTCGAAATTCAATCGTTTGTGCAAAGGCGTCAATTGTTTACATAAACCAATGGAGAATGCGGAGGCGATAATATTTTTTTTTAGTCTCACCTAAATCCGAAAGCTCCCGAGATTTTATGAACGAATCCACGAATTTTCGATGTTCCTCCATGACGACTGAAGAAGTTTATTAGAAACGCGAAGTGGACGATTCGAGTGGTCTCATTCCACGGACAAAATAATTGCAACTGAATCCAGCCGATGATGAAGGTAATGATGATTCAAGAAACTGGCCTTATCTAATTTACGGTGAATTTAATCAATTCCCCGCCCATCGAGAGACCAAGAGATACGCGCGCACAATTTGCAACATTAAACAAACGTGAGCGACACACGTAAATATTTACATTTCGATGAAGGGCGTCCACGAGAAACATCCAAAGGAACAATAGCAAATTTCGTAAAGCCATTCCTCATACTCACTCAGGTATTTGTCCCATTCACGCTTCCGCTCTGTTTCGCTTCCGGTTTCACGGAACGTTACCGTTTTTGGGCTCGGCGTGCGGTTCACCATCATAACGTTATACAATTTCGAAGATTGAACAAAAATATAAAATCAGTAGCAAAAACAAAAAAATAATAATTCGGAACTATTATCCCGCGGCGGGTCGACACTGCCGGATGAGTCAGTCGCACGAAATCACTCTACTGCTACTTTTTTTTTCTTTTGTTTTTTTTTGTAGCTTTCTTCTCCCCGACACGACGGTATTTTCCCGTTTGGCAAGAGACCCAGGCATCATCCGAAACTCAAACGCATCTCGCCAAACTAAAAATAGTGTGCTCCACGCGGAAAAAAAAGAAGAGGAGAAAAAAAGAAACGGAACATGAGAGAAAAACAAAAGCAAAAAGAGCGCGAAAGAGTTACGAAACGTTTCGTGGCCGCGGAAAAGAGAAGGAAAGCAGTTTTCCATTCATCGGTTTTATTTATATTTGTTTCCATGGAAATGGTGATGTTTCAACGGAAGTGAGTAAAGCGGAAACGGCGGTTGGGTATGTCTTGAATTCGCCAAATATTGACAAGCCAGTTAGTAAGTAAGTAGACGATCGGCATGGTAATTTTATTAATTAATTATTTTAATTGAAGGATAAGTTCAAATTAAAGGTTTGTTTTAAAGTTTCTTTTATTTTAGTTATATACATGTAACAAACAAAATTTCTTTACCTTTCTTGTACATGTGTCCGGTAATTCGTATCACTACTTTATTAATGTATTAAATTAGATGTGTGTGCGTTACAATATATAAAATTAATTAACACGACAGGTGTGTGCGGATTGTTTGCGAGCTACGCAATGACTGTTTCAGATGGACAGACCAAATCGAGAAAGTTTTATTCATTCATCATCCCACTCGCAAACACACGCGCGCGCGAGATCCTTGGAAGATGAAGAAGGAAATCGATTCCGAGCACGTCGCCGCCTTCGAATATCCGGAATAGTCCGGCGATGGTTTATGTCTAAGCGCGAGAAAGTATATGATGGTCAGTTAGTTAGTCGGAGTAGTCCAGGAAGGGATCGTCGCAGTTGAATTTCCTCTTGAGCATGGCGACGACCTGTGTCTGAATTGTGTTGACAACGTCCGGCGGTGTGTAGTTGTCCTTGGCGGACCGCGAGATCGTGACAAAGGTGGGCTTCTCGGGGAGGACGTCCAGGAAGTCGGCGAAACTGTCGTACATGAGCTTCAGCTGCGCTTCGGTGGATACGTGGTGCGGCAGCTCGGTGTCATCCAGCGTGCAGCCGGCGTCGAAGATCTGATCCCAATTAATCACATCGTAGTGCCGTTTCAGTTGATTTGCCAGCGACTCGATTTCCTCGGAGTGTATGAACTCCTCATCGACCTTGCCGTCCGACTGCATCTGCTGGAACGCCTCCTCCAGCTGGTCCATCTGCAGTTTACGCTTGCGCGCGATTTCCTGCACGTCGCCCTTCCGCTCGAACTTGAATATCCGCCTGAGCGTCGGGAATATATCCGCTTCCGGGTAGATCTCCCTGAACGGGTTTTTGGTACTGAAGAAGTCCAAGTCGATGTCCAGCACGTACCTATCGCCTAGCGCGACGTTCTCTTGCACCACTTTTCGGATGGCATCCATGTCGTCGCGCGCGTCCTCCTCTACTGCCGCTCTACCCAAACAAATCACTTCAAGCTTCGCCTCCCTGACCTTGTCTAGGTCATCAGCCTTCGCGTACAGACATTCCGAGAGAAAATAGCTCTCCTCACAGTCCAACCGTATTGTCTTCGAGTCCTTCTCTTCGCCGATCCGAAAATCGAACGTACCCTCCTTAATCTGATCCGCCCACGGTGGCTTTACCCACATCACCCTGGAGAAGTGCCCCGCGTACACGGCAGGCATTATCCAATTCTCGATGCTCAGATTGTCGTAGAGCTCCTCCTTATCGTAGACGGCTTCCGCTCGCATCGTTTTAGGAATCAGCAGGTCCGGGTGCGAATCCAGATGCACTAGAGCCATTCCCTCCAGCGGTAGATGTCTGGAGCCGATTTCACGGTAGATGTGTGGTATAACCTGGTTGTGATCCTCCACCACGTGGATCGGGATCCGCTCGTGTCTTCTGTATTTTGCACTCATTCTTCCTTTTGTTTCTATAAAACCATCCATCTATTACATAAATATATACGCACGCACGAGGAATTATAAAACGCAGCAGTATAAAAGAGTAGTACTCACCTCGACCCTAGCAAAAACAACACTGATCGAGGAGAGACCGAGAGGAAGAACCACCGGCCTCGGGGAAAACAGGGTGAACCGTTATTGGTCAAATCTCAGGTAAGAAAGGAGAGGTACTAAGAATCAAGTCACCTTTCTTTTTTTTTTCTTCGAATAACCGTATCAACGAGTGTCAAACTTTAACCACCCTTATCGGTCGTTCGTCATCTCTGGCAATTTTAGTCGTATAGTTCAAAATTTAGACTCTTAAGACTTCACGAAGAATCGTAGTTTGCATGATACAACGTTGAAAGTGCATTTGCATAAAATGACATAATTGAAACTACGACAAGGACATTGTTACAAATACAAAATTTATGCAGACCGGACAACATTTTTTTTTCATGCGGACAGGTAACAATATTATTTCGGAGAATTTTCTATTATTAAAAAAAAATAGTTAATATTTTTTCGAAGACCGGTTTGAGTTGCAGAGCGGCGGATTTTTAATATCAAGTTAGCTACGCAAAATACGTCGTTCGTCTTGGAAACAAATAAAATCTACGACGTATACATCTTCTCATTCATTTTATGTTGTTTGGGACAGTTAAATAAAATAAAATGAATAAGTGGAAACAAATTTAAATTTAGTGTATTAGTCCTTGTATGTAGCTCTTTAAACTTGTCGCACTAATATAGATTATTTAATAATATTAGCATTATATATAATGCCTAGGAATCGTAAGAAAACATTTTCCAGCAAACTTATATAATACAAATTCACAACTTTTCAAGATTTTGTTTTGAATCGTATAAAATATTTGTTACAGAAACTTTTAATAGAAAAAATCGGAAATATCACTCTCAATGTCACAGCTGTACGTGCGCTTGTTCAATATTTAAACTCCCATTTATTTTTTGCGCGCTAAAACGAATACAATCTGTACGTATTATAAAGGAGATTTTAGATAAAACGTGTAAATCCTTAACATCCACTAAGGGTTAATATTTAGATAGTTGCAGATACATCAAGGATAAACTAAGATCCAAATTAGGAGTTAATGAAAACGATAATTGAATGCAATTAGTTGTACAGTTGGATTACGTCATGCGAAATGGATGAGACTCTTACATCCTGGTGATGTTCCGTTCTTCAGGGTGCATTGGTAGGGCCGATGCAGCATCGTCGGCGTGAACTTCCCGTACATCGTCCTGTCCATCCTTAACCACTTCAATCTGAAGTAAGTGCTTTGACCGTGAAACCGGGGAAGGCGAAAGTCTGAAGTCGCGGCGCGCAGACGACACAGACGACGACGCCGGGCGTCGGAATTACACGCGCGTCCAAGAATACCCTCTCTTCGCGAGGGCGAAGATCTACCAAAAAGGGGACTTAAATTTAGACGTTTCGTGCGGGAGGAACGCGACGAAATCCTGTTTTCTCGATTCCACTCTGACTGATGTTGATGATGTAAGAAGCGTGAGGATCCGAGCGCTCTATGCGTTTCGCTCTCTTCTCATCTCTCTATTTACACACTAGTTCACTCGTTCTCGCTACACTCTGCGACCATTAATTTATTCGACTCTCGCTGGCCAAGTTCAATTCGACACCCTCGCACGACGCTCATTTCGACGCGACTGTTTTCTTCTTTGCGTCGTGTGTGTGCGCTTTTTTTTCGAGCGCGAAATTTCCGTGTCAAGGATCAAGAGAGCCTCGCCATAAACGGCATTAAAATTTACACAATACCAATTTTTTTTTCTTGCCCCGCCATCTCGTATGCATGTGTATGCTTATATATCCATAATGATCTTCCCTAAATGGCCATAACGAGAAATGAACGAAACGAAAGAACTAACCCGTATCTGGATCAAAGCCACAAGGCCACGCGCGTTCAAATTATTTCGAAAACTTCACAAACGAATTTAATCGATAATTGAAAAAGTGCAAATGAATTGAAACATTTCAATTTATTCGCATTAATTAAGTTTCAAAACCTGTATTTCTTAGTAAGCATCTGTTACAGCTAAACTTTTGCTGAAACGTCTCCATGTACTATACATTTGGTAAAAGGTAACCAAACCAACTACTAACTGCAGATACTGAACTTTTCTAAGCTTGAATTTATCTTTTCAAACTGTCATCAAATGATTTGCTAGAGCAGCGATGTTCTCCAGTGTACCAGATATTAGATGTGTCACAAAATACACAATAAGTGTATATATTAACAATCGTAATCTTCATCATTTAAGTGTGCCTTGCAACTGTTTCGTGAGATAAATATAAAAAAAAGTTTAAAAACTCTGTCTTAGAGTAAAAAAAATAACACAATGTAAATAGAATAGACAATGTTGAAGTACCTTCTGGTCGATGATAATTTAACAGAAATTTTATACAACAGATGGATATTGTTGAGTTCCCCATTTTCGTGACATTTGAACCGCAAACAAATTTACTTATTATTCTTTTATGATAGATTGTAAATAAAAAATAAATGTTAAAAAAAGTCATACAAATGACATAAATATTCAGAAATCCAGAACGGTCATTTATAAATAACTATAAAATGTTCCTTCTGATCAGCTGATGAAAACAGACATTCGCAAATGCACTTAATATTGGTACAAAGTGGAAATTAAGTTATAAATCAATTACTAATAATAAAAACATTATCAAAAATTAATTTTGATATCCAAAATCTAAGTTATGTTCTGCCAAATAAAAACATTTTAAATTATTTCATAATTGTTGATTTTTTTGCAAAGATTTAAATGTATACAATACTAATTGTTTCTGTCAATCAACATAAATTGAATCACCTTATAAAATAAATGGGCATATTTTGATATTTCGATAGTTTTCATTCAGTTGTTTTATGTCTAATCAAAGCAATTACAGAAATAATTTAAATATTTCAATTGTTTATGTATATCAGTTGATTATCTGTATGCATCAAAACACAATAAAAGGGACGAAAGATCAATGATCAATAACATTTTGCAATAGTTTTAAGTCATTACTAATAATTTAAATTATTTAAGTTTTAATCTAATTTTTGTTTAGTTATTGTAATAAACTTTATTGTTGTTGTTATAACCATAACACTAAACGTATTTAAACTATTAAATGTCATTTGCATTCGTGCATAATTGAATCACCCTGTAAAATTAATGCATGCATTCCTTGATCTTTCTTACAATTGGTATCACTGCCAATACTAATACTGCAATTGGAATATGTTCGCAATTAATTGGCCAAAAGAAATGAATAAATGTATTAAGAGATAAAGTTAATTCGGTTATTTTGTTGGGTACGGAGGATGCGGCAATCAGGAATGTGAAAAAAGGGAAACAATGTTTATGCAATTTAAAGGTCACGATGACTCCGCCCATGCGAATAACAAAAACTGACGTCATTTGGTGTAAATAAAACAAAAGCGCAAAACCACAACCCTTCCGGTGTGAGGAGTCTTCAGAGTGTAAATGATTTTTTTTTAAATTTAGAATTGAGGAAACGTCTGCGAAGATATTCCGGGAGAGGAATGTAAACAGACGGACGTGCGAAGAGGTTATGTTGTTCCGAGCATCTGTACTCACCCAAGTCGTCCATCCTGGATTTGTCTTCTGGTTTACGTCCTTTAGAAAATTCCGTTTGTTATTGTTGTTGATTAGTTCGTACTTTGATTGGTTTACGAAGAATCAACAACAACAAAAAAACACACACTAAACGCACAAACATACACACGCACGACCGATTGGTGGTTTATTTACCAATTTCGGTAATGTGCGATGGGAATATTCCCAATAGGCGGCGCCACAGGGCTTCCCCGCAAACCAGATCAATTTGTATAATCAACAAATCCTAATTGGGATGCATGCACCGCAGCGGGGAGCGAGCCGAAGATGGAAGGAGACGCGATGCGATAAAATTGTTGAATTTATTATAGCTGATAATATGAGCAGAAAGTGACCTTACATTTATCATTTCTGCGTTGGACTCGACGAGATCATGAAGTCCTTTTCATTGTTTTTGCTGGTAGCTTTGGCAACCAACGCGTTTTGCAGTACGCTTTTGTGTTTGTTGTATTTATTTGTAATAATATCGTTGCAAATTTCAGGCTATCCAAACGTTTGTCCGAAGATCCTGAAAAAGAATCTATGGGCGGGGAAGTCCCCTGTGAATATTGATTATGTTATCATCCCGGTGGAGTACGTGGTCATCCACCACACGGTCACGTCTACATGCACTTCCGAGGTGAGCTGCTCGAACTTGCTCTGCAACATACAGAATTACCACATGGATGAGCTGAAATTCAACGATATAGGATACAAGTGAGATTGATCTAATACTGATCTGTAACGATAGTAACAATTGATTTGCAGCTTCATGATTGGCGGAGATGGGGTAGTCTACGAAGGTGCTGGATGGCACAAGGTCGGCGCTCATACCTACGGATACAACTCCAGGTCAATGGGCATCGCTTTCGTAGGAAACTACGTGGGTTAGTCGGATTTCCTCGGTTTGGTTTTTCTCCTTCGTTTAAAATGGTTTACGTTTTACTTTCAGATAAAACTCCGAGCGAGAAGATGCTGAAGGCTCTGAAGGACTTCCTGGCGTGCAGCGTTGAACTCGGCGAGCTAAGCAACAGATACAAGCTCATCGGCGGCAGACAAGTCATCAGCACCGAAAGTCCAGGTCTCAAATTGTACCAAGAATTACAAAAGTTCCCTCACTTCCAAAGGAATCCTTAGATGCGCAGCAATTAATTGGATTTAAGAAACAATTACTTTCGTTGTATTATTTTTGTTTTAGTAAATACAACACAAAACTAATTCATTTGTTTAACTTTGGAAACTGTATGAGCGACTATTCCTATTATTTCGGACGAGTCCGATGTTACCAGTACAATGTACTCTATTACAATACCTAAAATACTTCTAAATATTATTGCATATGTGTGCGATGCGAATGACCGCGGTAGACGGGACTTCCCCTGCAAAACCAGATTAATGCGATTAATCGACAAATCGTAATGGCGATTCTTGCGCTGACAAGCGAGACGGCATACGAAAAAGAAGGACGTAATGCAAAACAAACAAAAAAAGTGGTATTTCCAAGGATCAGGAGGTGAAGCGATATAAAGCTGATGATCGAGCAGAAAATTTAATTTGTGATAATCATTTCTGCATCGAACGCGCTACAACCATGAAGTTCGTTTCTCTGTGTATGCTTGTAGCTTTGGCAATTGGCGCGAATTGCAGTGAGTGTTTTTATTTTTTTTAGTTATTATTTATTATTCGTGTAATTATTATATAGTAAATTAAATTGTAGGCTATCCGAGCGTGTGTCCGAAGATCGTGAAGAGGAATCAGTGGGGTGCGAAGGCGCCGCAAGAAGTTGATTATGTGATCATCCCGGTGGAGTACGTAGTCATCCACCACACCGTCACCGATACCTGCAGCTCGGAGGTGAGCTGTTCGAACATCCTCTCCAACATCCAGAACTTCCACATGAATGATCTGAAATTCCACGACATCGGATACAAGTAAACACGAAACAATAATTGTGGGTTGATGATAGTAACAATTGAATTGCAGCTTCGCGATTGGCGGTGACGGGGCCGTTTACGAAGGCGCCGGATGGCATAAGATCGGAGCGCACACGCGCGGCTACAACACTAAATCTATGGGCATCGCCTTCATTGGCAACTACGTCGGTTGGTAGTCTCCATCGCCAGCTTATTTAACTATCTTAAAAATTGTATGTCTTTTTGCAGATAAGGCACCAAGCGCAAAGCAGCTACAGGCCCTGAAAAACTTCCTGGCGTGCGGCGTCGAGCTCGGTGAGCTGAGCAACAGATACAACCTCATCGGCGCTAGACAGGTCGGAAGCACTCAAAGTCCAGGTCTGAAGTTGTACCAGGAAATACAGAAGTTACCGCACTTCAAAAAGAATCCATAAACGCTTCATTGCCACATCATAATCATTATATCACATAAGCTGACACGTTTTTTTTTAATTCCTTATATCATTTCATACCTTCCCGGCTTATGGGAAGTTTGAGTTTGGCCACTTTGACGACGACAGCATTAATTGTGTCGCAATTTGAATTTTGAACAAATTTACTCTGCATTAACTATTACTACTTTTCGAAGCCATGTTTTGATTACTATATTGTATGTTGGTAAATAAATATTCTTAAAAAAATACTGTTTCTAGGACTCAATTTAAACCTTATAACAATACTGGATGATTTTCAGTGCAATAATAATATCGAACATTTTGACTTTAACCGCAAAAGCGTTCGCAGAACGAACTGGAACGAACGGCATTGGGATCAATGAAGATGTATAGTTCATAATATTTTAAGCAGTCCGGGTATTTACTAGAAGTATTGCACAATTGCTTTATTCATGGAATTAATCAATATATAGCTGTTAATTGTTATTTGTGGTTTTCCAGAAACAATGAAAAAAATCTGTTTTTTTATACTAATTTGACTCATGAATTTTGACTTATTGCAATAGAACTTGGGGAATCCCCTATAATGTTATTTTAGTTGCATACTCTCTATATAATCAAAGTTAACATTTTTACGTATTTCGTATGTTAAGAAAATTAACTTATTTTCTTCAAATATTTTTTAATTATTAATATTATTGTTCATTTTTTTAAATTATTCTATGTATATTTGGTTGCGTATCTTTTTCATGTTGATGTTATTATATTCCTAACCTAATTTATTGTGGTTATAAACGGCGATCGAGTAATTTATTCTGTGTTAAAGTATATATAATAATAAAATAAAATGCCGAATTGGAATCAAATTCAAGCTCAATTGAGGCACCCGGCAAATCCGGTTGTATTCTTCGATGTTTCCGTTGGAACCACTGTAAGTTTCGATTTTGTTTATGCAATTAGAACAATATAATAATTGTTACTGCATTACAGGAAATAGGTAGAATGATTTTCGAGCTGTTCGCGGATATTGTTCCCAGAACGAGCGAGAATTTCCGTCAGTTTTGCACAGGGGAATACAGAAAGGATGGCGTGCCTTTAGGATTCAAAGGTGCTTGTTTCCATCGCGTCATCAAAGACTTTATGATCCAAGGAGGCGATTTTGTTAATGTAAGATTAATGCTAATTATGGTTCATATTTTTTACTAATGTTATGTTTTCTTAGGGTGATGGAACTGGGGTAATGAGCATATACAGTGGAAATACCTTCTGTGATGAGAATTTCTCATTGAAACACGACACCCCTGGCTTATTATCCATGGCGAATAGCGGCAAGGACACCAACGGTTGTCAGTTCTTCATTACTTGCGCCAAGTGCAATTTCTTGGACGGAAAACATGTGGTTTTCGGGCGCGTTATTGACGGGCTGCTGGTAATGAGGAAAATTGAGAATGTACCTACAGGCCCTAACAATAAACCAAAAATTCCGGTCACAATAGTTCAATGCGGACAAATGTAAATACAGTTTAAATAAAAAAAAAACTTTTGTATATGTACTTTATTTCATCTGATTAATAAAAGCGCGCGCGTGCTGTGTGTGTTGCCTATGAGCAACGTAAACATAACCTAATGTTTCCACATCGCATTTGGCATTTGGCTAAGATGACGAGCGAGGAGAAGACTATTTTCAAATATCTCCGCGATTTGGGGGTTTGTCTCAATTGTTCCCTACGCTATTTGTGCGACAAGAAGGTGGACTTTGCAGATGTGGACGTAGTCGTTAAACAGGTTTGTTATAATTCAAGCATAGATGAGAAAACCAACAGATTTCAACGATTTATGTTTTTAGAAACAATTATCTGAGGCTGAAATTGAAGATGTACCAATTAAGAAGGTCAAGGGGAATCCATGCTTGGTATGTTTGGGACTTCTACAGGAAACACACATTGATGATGTCTTGAATCACCCAGACTTAGGAAAAGTGAGTGGTTATGATAGTAAAGTCTTCACCATTGCAATAAGCATGCCTGCAGCTATTTTACTGAGAGAACACAGCATGCGTCTTCATTTGGAGGATAAATTCCCAATGTTCTTCAATGAAGAAAACCAGGAGATACCCATAAATCGTGCTTGGAAGATGTTCGTGTCGCCGAAATTGGCTGAAAAAATCCAGAAAGAGTTTCAGAACTCTGATATCTGTGAGTTTTCAATTAATGTGAGCACTGGGTATGACGAGGAGACTGAGGAGCTTTTAGTGCTCAAGGAGATGCAACCAAAGATATTTGAAATGCGCACTCTGCAACACAGAAAGTACAGTGGAGAGTTGTTCAGTCGGAAAGGTGTACTCTCAGCATTGAGTGTTACACCATCGGGTATATTCAAAATGCATGGGCAAGTGCCTCCTGATGTCCCCAGTAAGCAATTGGTCTGCAAGGAGATTGAGTGCAAGCACAAACCAATATATATGGCTGGCAGGTATTGCAAGTATTCAAGGGATTTGAGCCAAAGCCCATGGGTTATAGACGGCGTTAAGGCAATGGAAACTTCGGTGCAAGAGATTATGTTCGAGCAGTTCTGCAAGGTGTTCCAGTAAGTTTTTTTTAAAGCTTAATCTTAAAGCAATTATTATAGTGTAAATAAATTTTAGAATTCCTGAAGAGAATATGAAGTTTTCGTCTAGCGGTCGCGAGGACTGCGATGTGCGGTGCTTAGGAAAAGGAAGGCCCTTCTACGTGGAATTGTCCGATCCGAAACGCACCGAGTACACGCCGGAGGAGTATCGTCAAGTAGAGAAGGGCGTGGAAGAGTCGAAGCTGATCAAGATATCAGACCTGCAGAAGGTTCAGAGGGCCGAATTGACCAACATCAAAGACGGCGAGGAATCAAAAACCAAGAGTTACGTGGCGCTTTGTGTAACCAAGACGACGGTAACGGATGAGTTGCTAGAGAAGATTAACAGTCACGGTGGTCTTGAGGTCTCACAGAAGACGCCCATTCGAGTGCTCCATCGAAGACCACTTGCCACAAGGACAAGGAGGATTGAGAGCATGCAGGCATTCGCAATTGAAGGTTCGTATGAATATAAACATATTTAAAGTTCAGATATTTTATAGAAACTTTGTAGGACATTCCAATTGTTTCGAGTTACATGTAGTAACGCAAGCAGGTACTTACGTTAAGGAATTCGTACACGGTGACTTTGACCGCACCACCCCCAATTTAAGGCGAATAATTGGAGCTCCCGTCGACATCGCCGCCCTAGATGTAACAGCAATCAATTTAGATTGGCCGAAACCAGTCAACTATGATACATAACTTATTGTTTTAGTTTTTAGATAAATAAATACAACAAAAAAAACTAAATATTCAAATCAAAATTAATAGAATTTTTTAAATATTTTAACATCCCACTTTTATAATAAATGTTATATATATACACATTTTATTTTTTGTCCTGGCCCTTGCGTACATTCGTTAGATTAAAAAGAAATTTCAACTCGTTCGTATCGGATTTGTCTGATATAACAGACAGAAATATTTTAAATATTTATTTTTATCATGTTTTAAACACTGCAGGAACTGAAGAATACTACTGTAGTGGTGTATTTCAGTGCATTTGAACTAATTTCTGAAGCGCACCCTGTCGATGGTTTACCTATCCTAACAAGAAACGTCAAGTTGAATTTGTTTTTGTTGGGTTATGTTTTGGTGTTAGGATGGCGGAGCCAAAGAAGATATCCTTCGGGTTCAGCAAAACGAAGAAACCGCAGATTATATCGTCATCGAAGCCTGTTGTCGAGGAAGAAAAGAAGGAGTTTATCGAATGCGTCGAGGAGTTGGCGATCAAAGTAAAGGAGTAAGTCTACTGCAACAATATATCAATAACAAAAAAACAAATTTTATGTATGCTTGGTTTTAGTGCTGTTCAGGTGGAGAATAAGCCATTGATTCTGCATGTACCAGATACTGATGATAGTCTTCTGGTGCGCATTCAGAAAGTCAAGGAGCTGAAGGAACGCAGTAGGTTGAAGAGATTAGAGCACATTGATGACAGACCAGACTCAGAGTTAAGTTTGGATGAGTTGGCTGCAAGACAGTTGGTGGCTGAGGCCAGGAAAGCTGGAGAGAAGCAGAGTGAATCAAAGGTGTATAAATTGGACGTAGGGGAGGATAAACTAATTTTGGAAGGCAGTGAGCAGGCTACACTGGAGGATTATGAAGATGTCCCAATTCAAGATTTTGGATGGGCTATGTTGCGTGGTATGGGCGTCACTGATGAACAGAAGGTTAAGGAAGAGAAAGAATTGGAGGTGAGGCCAAAGGGCATGGGTCTTGGTGCCTATAAGGTGGTGAACCAAGGGCGGAGCGGTAAACCCGCTGTTGGAACCGACGGTAAAGAGCTAAAGTTAGTGAAAGGATGTTGCGCCAAGATCATAGCCGGTCGAGATATGGGGACCTACTGTAAAGTAAGTTAATAAGATTTGTAACGAAATATAAATTAATGTACGTATTTTTTCTAATAGGTGCACGATTGGGATTGCAACGATGATGGTATGGTTATCGTCAAGATGGCTTTAAAGGACGGCTTCACATCCGTTAACGAATTTCTCTTAATACCTGTGTCTACAGATGAATACTCGATGGGTTCAAAAGTTATAAGTGAGTTGAGATGAATAAAGAAAAATATTGTTATTTGATAGTTTGCTTTTAGATAACGCAAAGTATGAGCAGTATAAGGAGAGAGATGCAAGCGTAGCGGTCAAAACCGAAATGAAGCCAGAGCCTAATGTAGAAGTAAAAATTGATATTTCAAGCGAGGAGGAATATAGGAGTAGGAGAAAAGGCCGATCCAGATTTGAGGAGGATAGTGCGGCGAGCCACAAGAATTATCGGAAAGATCGCAGTAGGAGCAGGAGTAAGAGCAGAAAGTCGAAGAAGAAGCACCGCAAGCAGAGGATGAGAAGGAGGAGGAGGAGTAGCTCGGGAGGCGGCACCTGCAGTGACAGCAGTACCGGCAGCGAGCAAGATCGTAGAAGGCGGAAGGAGAAGAGTCGTAGCAGAAGGCGGTCCAGTGAGAGCGAGGAGGAAAGGTACCGGAACCGGAATCGCAGATAACGCGCGAGCGCAACGCAACGTCCCGCTTTGAATATTTTTTTTAGGCAGCCTAGGCTCGGTTGAGTACTCGGGAGGGACGAGCGCAATAAATCTTAATTTCGAAAGAGCCGCTCGGATCTGTTCCCCAGGGAACGCAATTTTCCTCCATACACACATACACAAAATAATGCGTGCAGGAAGTACTAATTGAATTAAGTGAAGAGCAACTCTGGTTGCCTGCGTTGTTTTAATTTAATAACTGTTTAATGTGCTAAGAAGAAAAAGAAATTAGTTAGAAATGTTAATCTTTTTATTACTCTGATTTTCCACTTTACACCATTGAATCCTACATTTTCCGCGATTTCCTTATTTTACAAAAAAAAATATGTTCAAATTGATAAGTACGGGTTGTATTATAACCCACGCATTTAAAATAAAAGCACCGCATAGGCTGGCGCCAAAGCCAAATATTATTTGTTGGAAATAATTATAACTTATTGAACGCTGATGATGTTTTTTGGCACCAATTCTGGCAATGTATATTTAGAATAGGTTTCCGTCCATCGCAACTTTTATTTTCTCTTTTCTTCTTTCTATCGACTTCTGGTCGAATTTTGTTTTGCGGGCTGCAATTGTGCCACCGTTGCGTAACCATAAACAAATTTAAACTTTGCTTCTAGTTGGCCAAAGCGAATTATTACGATTTCGCGCATTACGCGAAACGTTTATTTTTAATTTCGGCTAATTGTCTGCTACCGTTTTCCTTGTATTTTTTTTTGTTTTTCGTTCTTCGCGCGGTAATTTTTAATTTTAACTGCGATCCCTCCCAGCCTTTTCGCAGGTTCAGCGTCCGTCCCGGTGCCAATAAATACCCGAGCGGGGATACAACTCACACACACACAGTCACACTCAAACATATATGTACACGTATTTATAATTTATTATTTTCAATTTGTATTTGATTTTTCTTTCCGGGAGCGCAGTTTAGAGATTGCGATCATTCGCGACGCGTTTCCCTAACATTTCGAGAGTTTCTTGCTTCGCCGGGAGAAAATCCGTATACCGTCAGCCCCCAGGAATGAAACCACCTTGGGGCCACGAACGTCTTTGCCGCTGCTCCACCATCACCAATAATTGTTGTCCCCTTGCGAAGAGGTAGTTGCAACAAACTCGCAAAAGATAGAAACAAAGAAGAAAGGAAACAAAGGCGAATTAGAGGTAATTAAACTTGTAGCGAATCAATTGCGTTCAATTCGCGAGGCATCGCGTGTTAGTCGCCGTCTACCAATTCATTTCGTAAAAGAAAACATGGAGAATGAGAGAGAACAAAACAAACAAGAATTGGTCGTGCATGAGATTTTTAAGGCACTCAAATGGATTGACTGAAGGATTAATTATTTAAGACCGCTTATCTGGAGATTTATATAGACGTATGTTAATTTCGTTCCAGTGTGCTACGAAAAACCGCTCTAACATCGACAGCCTAAGTAAGTCCTGATATAAATGTTAGACAATCACAATTGTAGATGAAGCGAAAGACGCGCTTATGCAAATACAACTTTGTTTGTACAATTCGGAAATCGATTCGTCTTTAGGGAGAAACAATTTTCCCCCCTCTCCAGAAATTTCACCGTCTTCGAACGTCCAGTTTTATTTTCTCTTTCCTTCCAACCTTATCATTCTTAATATATTTTTTTTAACAAATTTCTTATTATAAATAATCCCACACCTCATTAATTCCGCTCAATCAGTGTCGTCGGAAAGTGGCCTTAAAGCCCGTCCAGTTGGCCCGACATTCCCGGCGAAGTTTTATTTATAAACGCGCATACAAAAAATATACACAACATGTAACGAAATTCAAATACAAACACATTAGTTTTCCATCCCTCTTCTGCTAACCATTGTGTCTCTCTTCCCTAACCGCGCGCACGTGCTTACATCAAGTAAGTATTATTATGCAAGCTGTCTATCTTTCGAGTGCGCTTCGAAACGGAAAGTGTTCGTCTCTTCCATTCGTTTTCGTCACTTGCACTTGTTTGGTCTGTCGCAGTTCTTTACGAAATTTGTTTCATTTGTTGTTGTTGTTTTTTAATTGTTATTCTCTCCTTTTTGTGTTTTAATTGCTGATAACACTTATCTAACAAATGTTGATAACGTTTTCGAAATATTTAAATGTGTTAAAGAGATAATTTCAATGCCATCCACGTTTACCTAGGCGCTATATAATATAAGAATGAAATATATTAAACTGTATAAAATTATATTAATCTACCTTTATAGATATTTTCACTTATTTACTTTATTTAATGTAACCATTCAAAGAACAAAAAAAACGAATACGATAAAGATTATATTTTCGTCATGTGGCAGCAGCTAACTTCAATTAATTTTGTCGAAAGGATTTTCGGAATGATATTTATGAGCATTTTTTTCTGGACATTGGAAAATAGTTAAAACATTAAAAATAATTTAACAATTTTTGTATAGGAATTAAATAATCAAAACGTTAAAAATTCCCAATATGTCTCTAGAAATTGTATCAATAAGAAAATTTATTTTGATACTCCTCTTCTCATTTTATGTCCTCTGTAAATTTGTGAATATTGAAGTTGTTAACAAAGAAAAAAAGCTTCATAGAGGAATTGTTAATTAATCTATTTTTTTTTTGGAAGATGTATCTCACTTTAACTTTTTCAGGGACCGTGAGACACGCAATGTACTAGAATTTTCTAGAAAATGTCCAGGAGAGAGGAATTACTCTTTAATTTGGTTGATATGCCAAGGGATGCATTTTGAGACATATATCTAAATCATTTTTTGCTCTTTGCATTGGAAAATATTTAAATACTCTGAACATATTAAAAATAGAAAAATCATTTACCAATATCTTTATAAAAAATGATCTAATAAGATTATTTCTTTCCAATTTATTTTGATACTCTTTCTGAATTTAATAAATATATATTATATTAATATGATGTACAAATTAAAAATTTCGCAAAGTTTCAGACATATTTCATTTATGTTTTTCTCTTTGACTTGGAGAATATTTAAATAGTCAACACATTAAAAATAGATTCGTTGAATAGGAATTTCCGCATTAGATAGTTTATTTCCAAAATAGTTTGTAGATGAATCTTAGATTCATAAATATATGTAAACAACAAATGATCAACAAATTAAAAATAGAACAACCGTTTACCAAATTCTGAATATGATATTTTTCATTAACACTTTTGCGCTCTAATCGAATTATGTTTAAGAAATACAACAATACCTCGTACAGTTTTATTAAGCAAAATAAAAATAAGTACACAAAAATTATCAGTCAAGTCTGTTTTAAAGTCCGGTTTTAAACCGATTGCCCGCACTATGCGATATTATTATATATATTATTATTATATAATTAAAAATATATATAAGAAATTTACCAAACATTGGATGATTGAAGTGTTATAATTATTTCTTTCTAATTATTTTAGTTGAGTTTCTCAGTTTCAGAAAATACATCTTTTTATCTGTAAATTGAAGAATATTTTAAATAATAATATAATAATAAAAATTGCAACAAATGACCAAAATACAAATTGAAAATTAAAAAGAAACAAAGTCGAAATTATTCCAATTATGTTGTGTTTTTCAATTGCTTTTGTAAGAGCATCCGATTATCATAAATATGTCTTAATTAATGTTTTTGTTTCGCTGTAGATTGTAGAATATTGGCTTTCTTTATATTCAAATTTAAAATTATATAAAAAAACACAACAAAGTAGAATATGTCAATAATGTCGCGTTTTTTCAATTCATATTATAAGAAGAATTCTAGAAATATAAATTTTAGAATATTGGTTTTCTTTATGTTGAAATGGTCAATACGTTGGTTCTCAATTTCAATAAATACATCTTTTTATCTGTAAATTGGAGAATATTTTAATAATCAACAAATTGAAAATTTAAAAAAATCAACAAAATAAAAATGATGCCAATAATGTCGCTTTTTTCAATTGATTTTGTATGATGAATTCAAGAAACATAACTTGTAGAATATTGGCTTTCTTTATGTTCAAATAGTCAACACGTTGGAAATATGAGCTTCTCAGTTTCAATAAATATATCCTTTTATCTGTAAATTGAAGAATAATTTAAAGATCAACGAATTGAGAATTACAAAAAAATCAACAAAGTAGAAATTATTCCAACAATGTCATGTTTTTTTTTCAATTGATTTTGTAAGAGCATTCAAGCAACATCAATTGTAGAATATTGGCTTTCTTTATGTTCAAATAGTCAACACTTTGGAAATATGAGCTTCTTGGTTTGAATAAATACATCTTTTTATCTGTAAATTGGAGAATATTTTAATGATCAACAAATTGAAAATTACAAAAAAAAAAATTAACAAAGGAGAAATTATTCTAATAATGTCGAGATTTTTCAATTGATTTTGTAGAAGCATTCAAGCACCATAAATTGTAGAATATTGACTTTCTTTCAATAAATACATCTTTTATCTGTAATTTGGAGTATTAATGGTCAACAAAAATAAAAAAAATAGAAATTATTTCAATAATGTCGCGTTTCTTCAATTGATTTTATAAGAGTTGAAAACATAGTAGAAATGATTTCAATTATGATGTGTTTTTCAATTGCTTTTGTAAGAGCATTCGATTTTCATAAATATATCTTAATTAATGTTTTTGTTGCGCTGTAGATTGTAGAATATTGGCTTTCTTTATATTCAAATTGAAAATTATATAAAAAACACAACAAAGTAGAATATGCCAATAATCTCGCGTTTTTTTAATTGATATTATAAGAAGAATTATAGAAATATAAATTTTAGAATATTGTTTTCTTTATGTTCAAATGGTCTACACGTTGGTTCTCAATTTCAATAAATACATCTTTTTATCTGTAAATTGGAGAATATTTTAATAATCAACAAATTGAAAATTTAAAAAAATCAACAAAATAAAAATTATTCCAATAATGTCGCGTTCAACTGATTTTGTATGATGAATTCAAGAAACATAACTTGTAGAATATTGGCTTTCTTTATGTTCAAATAGTCTACACGTTGGTAATATGAGCTTCTCAGTTTCAATAAATACATCTTTTATCTGTAAATTGGAGAAATCAACACAGAAAAAATGATTCCAATAATATCGCGTTTTTCAATTGATTTTGTAAGAAGAATTCAAGAAACATAAATTCTAGAATATTGGCTTTCATTATGTTGAAATAATCAACTCGTTGGAAATATTAGCTTTTTGGTTTCAATAAATTCATCTTTTTATATGTAAATTGGAGAATATTTTAATGGTCAACAAAAATAAAGCAGAAATTATTCCAATAATATTGTGTTTTTTCAATTGATTTTATTTGCGAATTCGATTTTCTTAAACATATTTAAATTTAAATTGTAGAATATTCTTTATATTCAAATGGTCAACACGTCGAAAATAGAAATACTCAATTATCATCGGATCGCACTAATTGATTAATTGATGTTGACATTACATTTGTTACTTTGACGGTTTCGCAATGATCTTGTTTGATTTGGCAGACTGTTAAGTGATGCGCTTTTTGTTTGTTAAAATGTTTGTCCATCATTATAATTGGCGGCACGCTCTCCAATATATCTCCAGTTTAATTGTGCGCGTTGCTTGTTATTAGTTGCGTTTTTTTTTTCATTCTAGTTGTAGTTGTTATTGTCGTTCGAAAATTTTAAAGCATTAAAGTGGTTTTAATTAGAGTGTTCGTGATGTTGTTTTCTTTTTTGTTCTGTTGCTGACGACGTCGACGTCGTCGTCGTCACGGTCGTAGTGCCCCTTCGCTCCCCTTTGGCCATACGCAAATATTAGAAGCGCGTGTCTCGTCGCGTTCCTGGCGATCCAGAGCTCACTTCTCCCGTCGCGTATCCATCGTTTATTTCCGTTGCGGATTTTCTCGCTATTTTTAGTACGCGAAATTACTCCTACTAATTGAATGTTACCAAAGTCGAGCAACAGCTTTCCATAAACAAACAAAAGAACCTTTGCATTCCAATTCAAAGATCTAAAGAAGAAGAATCGCCTCCTACGAACACTAAAATTATTCAAATTATTTTTAACATTATCATTATAAATTAATTTCATTTTTCTTCTGTTTACTCGCAAGCAATTACATTATGTAATTTAATTTGTGTTTTTTTTGGTGGAAAATATTTAGTTGCGCCTAATTGATTGCGCGTACCATACGATGGCGACGAAAATTTTCCGTTAATGGATAACGTCCAAAATTAATCCTGAATAATTTATCGTCCATGGAGCTTTTCCATTCACCGTTTTCACTCGACTATCGATTACCAAAAGCGACCAATCGACATTGACTTTGAATATCATCAATTTACACAACATTTAGCAAATAATCATTTGCAATAAAATATTTGCATTTGACTTTTGATAATTTCGTAGTTGACAAAATGCAAATTATTTTATGATATCTCTCAAAATTTAATCTTAACTCTTTGAGGGGCCACAAATTCCTTAACAAATTTCTAGACAACTGAATCAGACAACTACGTCAACTGAATCAACATCAAATTGACATACCAAGCAAATTAAAGGATAATTTCTCTTTCCTGGACATTTACTAGAAAATTATAATAATGTCCTACTGTTAAAAAGGTGGTATATTCCGTGTCTTCTTAAAGAGATTTTATGTCTATTCATTTTCCAATTACAATATATTACATTATTGGTATTTGTGTATTGATCGCTTAATAATTAACAAAATATCAATTATTTGATGATATTTCTTACCCTACAAAACAGTTGACAATTATACCAATAAATAAATGACATTTATTTTAAATATTATCAATTTACACAACATTTAGCAAACAATTATTATTGATGGTTTATTTTATTATCGAATTTATTGCAAATGATTGTATAATAGTTTGATAATTTCTAATATTAGATATTCATCAATTTCCCTAATGCGATAATTTCAGTAATTTGCATATTTTTTTTGATTGCTTGATAATTAACAGAATGATAATTATATGTCAAACTTTCAATGATTTGCATCGTTTAAAAATTTCCAATTTGTAAATTATTTCATGATAAGGAAATTACTGGAGTTATATATATATATTTTTTATCGCAAAACTTTATTATTGTCAATTTTTTTATTGATTTTCATGTTTAAACAATTTCTAAATTGTAAATAATTTGATGACATTTAGGTTATTTGATTAACCCAAAGAAATTTATCAAAAAGTTCAATTATTTGACGACATTCGGGTTAAATTTAAATTATTTGTTCAAAATAATTTATTGACAAATTTTTAATGATTAACATAATAATTTCTAAAATGTCGATTATTTGAAGACATTCGTGTTAACAATGTCTAAATGTCATCGAAAATTATTTCAATAATAATTATTTTTACGAATGTTAATTATTTGATCACATTCGGGTTTATCATATAATAAAGAAATTACTAGAATAATATTTGGTTTAACAATTCTTTATATTTATTTTTACAGAAAATTTAAATTCAAAATATTAATTATTAGATACTGTTATGTATGTACATATGCACTTTTATCAACAATATTTTACATTATACTTACTATGTAATTTTTATTTATTTTTTATTGCAACAGAAAACAAAATTAAACATTTTCCATATAATACTAATAAAACAAAATTCGGACGACTTTTAATAATTTCAATTATTTGGTGACATATCTCAACATTTGTTTTTTCAAATCAGATAACAATTAAATCACTCAATTATTTGCAACAAAAAGAAACTTAGGTCGAAAGCCTTTTTGCCCAAATTGGGTTTAATGAAAATATGTAACTGAATAAAGGATTTTCATTTGATTATTGACATTTATCTATATTTGACTTTTCAAATTAAGTAACTATTATTTTTTTTTGCAAAAGTTACTAAACTTTGCAGACAAAATCACATATAAATGTCTGAACATAAGTTTGTAAAATGATTTAGCATGCGCACAATTCGGGACATGTCATCGTCACTCGTTATGTGAGTCATTTTTGTTATAATTTGTTTTTTCGTTAAGCGAATGACTCGTTATGCGAGATGTTTGTTATTTGATTGATTCATTTTAATTGATTCACAGCAATAATAAATAAGTAAATGATTCGCATTTGACGTTTCATTGTTGCACAATTTTGTAAGTGTCAATTAATGGGATTTTTGATTATTGAAAGGTTATAAAATCACTCGATTAATAATTATTCCAGTTGTTTTGAATGTTTTAAATTGTATTCAATTTCATCATACAAAATTTCAATTGCCATAATTTAAATAATTCGCTTTTAACATTTCATCATATTGACAATGTGACAGTTGACTTTTTGTTTATTTATACAAATAATCGGCTTAAATCGTTGACATGTAAAACGTTTGGATATTGAATTATGAATGGTGCGAGATTGATTTTGAATCTGTCATAATTACACTTCGCGTGCTCCACGTCAAAAAAGAGACTGCGTTTATATTTTATTACTATTATTTCACGTTTATTTTTTTGTCGTTGTTATTTTATTGCGTGTCTTCACAATCACATATATCATCTTCGTACAATTATTTATTTTTGTGTCGCATGCGAATAATTAAAGCCGAAACGTGAGTTCGTCTCGATTTCAATTACCAGCATCGTCTGGGATGGTTCGATGCCATTGCATCAACCTTGAAAAGTTCAATCCACCAATCCTTTAAGTTATCACATCCAATTATTGATTATAAACAAATCAATCAAAGAATATAAATTGGAATTAAATTAATATTCGAGTTATTTGATTTCAAAATGAGAATGTCAGCTGATGATTTTTATATGCGGAGTAGAGAAAATGCACGCTCACGTTGAATGCAACAACTTGTTGTCAAGAAAATTCGCTTCCTTTGGGTCTTTGAGTAGTTCAAAGATGAAATATTTGGTGTTATGAGTTTCTTCGTTACTAAATAATTCGGAATGGTAGTTGTTGCGCTCGATTTGATTAGTTTTTTTTGTGTGATATGGATGCAATGGATGCATCGGGTTGGGAGTTGGAGGGTTGCGACGTCGTCGTCGCCGTCGAGCGGATCGATTCCAGGAAGAGGGGGTCGGAGGGGTGTGACCCTCACGATTGCAACTCGCACACCTCCTGACGTCCTACCGAAAATCGATCAGACCGAACCGAACGCAAATACTGTCAGTCGTTCAGCGCCAGGGCTCCCAGCACACGCAGAAAGCACAGCACTTAGCACCAACAGACAGAAGGAAACGAGACAGAGAGATAAATAGGAGAAGCTGAAGAGAGAAAGCTAAGTACAACCATTTTCCACCGGAAGGACAAAAGCAAATTCGTAGTTCCACCACCACCACCCCAATCGCCGAATAACAACGGGGTCACGTGCGCTGCCTGGCAACTATAATAACAACAACAAATAACAAGCGATAACAATAATACCATCACCGCAACTGTCAAGGGACAGCGGCAACGGAAGCAGCGATCGGGAAGAGCAAGAGGAGGAGGAAGAGGCGCAGGCGGAGGTATCGTCACCGTCGTCGTCATTACAATCATCATCGTCGTCGTCAGCGGCGGTGGAAGAAGAGGAAGCAGAGTTGCCATCGGAGTTCAGTCCGATCGGAGGAAGCGCCGAGTCGATCATCTTCCCTAAAACGGGGACGCAAACAAGAGGCTGCTTCAATTTCGATTATCACGTGCTATGGAAGATACTTCACGTTTTTCTGGTAACATTCCAATCCACCACCAACTTATACAACAATATTTATTAAATTACGTCTTCAATTTACATTTTCTTTTTCAAAACATTAGATTTGTTCTTACATATATTTTTTTCAAATTTATGCTCGTATTTAAACATAATGGTTTTTAAATTCATGCTTTTCGCACCACGCCGGCTATGTTTTATATATCGGAATCAATGACTTTGCTGATTTACATTGATATCGTTATCTGTATATTCATACTTTCGCGTTTCCAACTAACAATTAACCGTAATCGATAATATTTCCTTACATTTCTCCAATGAAATAGTTTGCCAATACTTGAAATTCAAAGTTATTTTAAAGTCATCTCGATTCGCACGCTATTCAACGATCAAACAATTAATTGTCTGCAATTGTTATCCACTTTAGATTGCGTATTGCCATAGTAACAACGTGGTCTCTAATTTAGTAATAATCTTTATTGTAACATTTTCATACAATAATAATAAAAGAAAGAGTTAACTGCTGCAAAGGATAATTTAATAATTATTGAAATCAAATTATAAATTGTCGGTATTTCCATTAATGTCTTACTAATTATTGAAATTACTTAATATTGTTATTATGACAGACACCAGGTATTGTTTACTTTGTATATTATTGTATTACTAAAAAATGAAAAAAGTTATTAATTATCGATTATAAATTATCGGTGTTTCTATGAATGTTGGTGTATTTACTAATTATTTAAATCGACTTATTTTCTTTTTATAGAAATAATGGTATTTTTCTACTATTATTTTATTAGTAATAATTGAAAAATTCATTTACTATTGAAATCAATATATTTACTAATTATTTAATCTTTTTGATAATGTTTTGTTTAACTAAATTTTTACAAAAAATTGCTATTTTAAGGTGGATGCGCCTGGTCACATTTCTTTATAATTTTGTGGGTTGTACTTAAGTTACATTTGCGCATTTTCCAAGGAATTCAAATTGCGATTATTGTGGTTTACAAGAAAAGTAGCGAGAAAAAGAAAATAAAAAATATATATAAAGCTACGTCAACGTTAGTCTAAATCCGTATAATTGGATACAAAGTTCTTAACGCGTTTGTGCGGTGGTTGTTTATTATTTGATATATTTTCTTCGCTTATGCATCACCCTTTTTCGGAATCCATCTATTTTTAGTCATCTATTTGACTTCCAACCAAATTTGTGACGTCTTATTTTCGGTATCAAAGAAAAAAAAAGAATCTGCTTCCAACAATTTGTTATTGTTGATGTTTTGATTATAATTTTATTTTTAATCTTGTATTCACATTCGTATGCAATTCTGAACTAATGTTATTGGTTTATTTTCTTTCAGAGTATCTGTTCGCCAAAATGCCCGAGGAGAATACCGTCAAGATCGAATGTACAGAACATTCGGACAAAAAGGAGATGACCGGCGCAAAGAAGTGGATGTCGGAGAACCTGCTCCTCCTTGGGACGCTGCTTGGGGTTGCGATCGGCGCCATCATAGGTAATTAATTCATTCATTCGATCGTTTCTTCCATTCGTTATTCTTTTTTTCTTCGGAGAAAAGAAATTGATTTAACAACCCTCTGTGACGTCCGAGGCTTTTCGCGTGTTTTTCCCCATGAATGAATCGCGATTTTCTCATCCACTTTCCGACTTCTATAAATAGCCGCTGATTGCATTGTACTATTACGTGCATACATTAAAACCATCGTGGAAATTTTCGTGGGTCCCGTTGCTAATGGTTACCATATTGTTTTCCATTTGACGTAAGCGGCAAAATCGATGAGCCCATGGGTCGAAATATACTATTTATAAACAAATTTAGGGAAAACAAATAATGGACACAAAACGATAGAAAAAAAAACTAATGACACTTAATTCCCGGCGCATCCGCCATTCACATATAACTGCAAATGACTTAAAGTCATGTGATCCTCAAATTATTAAATGCACGAGTCTCAAAGCAATTGTCTTTTAATTGAATATTGATGTGCCACGTGTGGTATCTTTCGTTAATTACTTTCAATTAGAACGTCACAATGTAAATGACTTAAATTATTGGATTTTTTTTTTAAGTTTTTGTTTTTTCATTACCTTTTTTCTTATATTTGCGTTATGGATTCATCATTATAATCATATTAAATGTATGAATATTTTGATATGTATGGAAGGTTGGCAATTTTGATGCGATTGGGGTCGTTCGAATGCACCCAGGTGATTGTACCAAATGGACGTTAATTAAATTCCATGACCGGTCACGCGTATCGCAGCCGCCGCAACCAATGAGATTAGAAGTTGGGCTTGTTACTATGGAGATTGCATAATGTTTTGGCAACTTGGGGCAATATTGTTTTTTTCTTCGTTCTTTTTGCAATTCGCGATCGATTTGTTCGCTTGGACGTGAAGCGTTCGTGCTTTATAAACGGAGACTACATTTGCGATTGCTATGCAGGTTTTGGATTGAGGCCGTGCAACCTTTCGCAGAGCTCGATCATGCTGATCTCGTATCCGGGTGAGCTCTTCATGCGACTGCTCAAGCTGATCATCCTTCCGCTGATCATCTCGAGTCTGGTGGCAGGAAGTGCCAGCCTGAACGCTAAGCTCAACGGCCGGATCGCCGTCAGGACGCTCATCTACTTCCTGATTACGTCCATCATCAACGCCATCCTTGGAGTCGTCCTGGTAACGATCATACATCCCGGTCATCCAGGACTCAAAGAAACTTTAGGAGACGGCACCGAGAACAGAGGCGCCACCAGCATGCTCGACAGCCTCCTGGATCTAGGAAGGTGATCACATTTACCCTCTCTCGAGGATTCTCGCAATCTCTTTCTCCTCTTCTTCAAAGTATTACATAACACACATATACATAACACGCATACGAACACACACAAACACCTCCACTAAAATTCAAATCAATCTCAAGTATAGTTTATATATCTATTCGTCTCTGATATTGTCGTTACTGATGTTGTTGTTATTGTTGTTCCTTAACACTTAAACACCGACCTTTTTCTCGCTTTTTAAAATTGTTCTGCTGAATTTAATTTATTTCTAGAAACATCGTAGCTGATAATATATTTCAAGCCACTTTCCAGCAGGTAGGTGTGCTGCTTGCCGTGTGCTGCAACCACAAAAAAATGTTTTCTCTATCAAACAAAAATGAAAAAAAAAGCAAATTTTGAACATAATAATTATAATATTGATAATAAAAAAAACACACAATTTTGCAGTAAGTAATGAAATTCAATTAATAAAAAAATATTATTTTTTTTATTAATTAATGTATATTTTTTTCTTCTGTTTGTTATATTTAATTAATTTTGTTTTTGTTCCCGATCATTGCAACTTTTTGGTCGTATTATTTTATTAAATAATATATATATATTAGAAAAGATGCTATGTATATTCTCTTTAACGGTTGTCGTGGTGTATTTGCAGGCGCATACGGCTTACATCAACACGTCCGTGGTCACGTTCAACGCGGAGAATGGCACGTTCGATAGCTCCGAGCTCACGGAGAGGCAGATCAATTACAGGTAACGTGACTTACCATTAAAATTCAATACTTGAAAGTTGAAATAGTAATAGATCTTTCAATTTCGTTTATCAAATTGGTTTTATTAACTTTCGATGTTGTTTAGAGCTGGAACTAACACTCTGGGCATTGTGTTCTTCTGCTTGATCTTCGGAACGATTCTGGGAACGCTCGGGGAGAAGAGCAAGGTGGTGATCGAATTCTTCACCGTCACCTTCGAGGTTGTCATGAAGTTCGTGACTGGCGTGATGTGGCTGACGCCGTTCGGCATAAGCAGCGTGATCGCTGGAAAGATCCTTTCCGTGAACGACCTGGCGCTTGTAATCTCGAATCTTGCGTGCTTCATCGCTACCGTCGTTCTCGGCGTCTTCATCTACCAGCTGATAATCATGCAGCTTATTTATCTGCTATTCCTGCGAAAGAATCCTTTCAAGTTCTACGCAGGGCTCATCCAGAGCACGTGCACAGCATTCGCGACGGCCTCGACGGCTGCAGCACTTCCTATCACCTTCCGCCTGATGAACGACAAGTTGAAAATAGACACGCGGATCACCAGGTTCGTGCTTCCCATAGGCTGCAACATCAACATGGATGGGACTGCCCTCTTTGTGGCAATCGCCTCCGTCTTCATCGCTCAGATGAACGGCATCGAGCTGGGTTTCGGGGAACTGGTAACCGTTTGGTAAGAACAATTCTAATAAGCACCGAGTTTTCATTTTTTAAGACGAAACCTTCATATTTAGCTTTACCTCAACGGCTGCCTCGTTTTCATCTGCGAGTGTACCAAGCGCAGCCCTAGTGTTGCTCCTAATGGTCCTCTCAGCTATTGACACTCCGGTCCAAGACGTCTCGCTGCTCTTCGCCGTAGACTGGATTGTGTAAATATTCACCTATTAACCTTACATTATATTATAAACCAAATTACAATTTTGATCGCAGCGATCGTTTCCGGACGACCAACAACATGCTCGGCGATTGTTACGCGGCGGCCGTCGTTGAACTCCTCTCCAAGAAAGAATTAATGGCTGCAGACGCCATCTTACAGGTACGCATTTCTCGTAGCAAACATACACATCAATCTAATACAATGATTTGCAGGAATCCTCGTTGGATTACGAGGACGGAAACTCGCTGAGGAATTCCATCAGCAAGGATCTGGGCCCCAGCGAAATTGTGATAAGGGACGACAAGCGGAACGGCACTAACAACATATAGAGACTGTATATCATATTGGAACTGTAATCTATCAGAAATTAACTAATCTAGCAGCAACAATAACTTTGAAACCAGACAACCGATGATTGAAAGGAGCGTTTGGTTGAGATTCCATATCCTTTTTATCCAGGTTTTTTATGTATTTTTTCTTCTTTTAATTTCCGTTAATCTCTAGCGGTTAGGGTAATATTACACAAACAAATAAAAAAAACACCACCAATCGGTATATATATTTACTATAATATTATATTGTATACATCAACAAAAAAAAAGAGAGAGACACGAGGGAATGAGGGGAAAAATAACTAGTATTAATAGTGTAATAATGATTGTTATAGATGCGCATATTTTATTAATGTATTTTTAAAATATTATACATAAAAGAATAAAATGAAAAAAAATATTTGAAAAAAAACACACACACACACACACTCGATGTAACTCGTGGAGCATTTCGTACGGAGCAGAAACTATTTAACTGAAGTGATAACTAATGATGCAATAATGTTTATTAAATTCGTACACTCATTACTTTCATATTAATAATAATAATAATATTAGAAATACAAAAATACATTTAAAAAAGACAAGAAAAGGTTAGAGCAGTTACGATTATGAAAACAACAATTACTTGAACTAGCAATAAATTAATACACTGAATTACAATCGTTTTATTTGTTGACAAAAAATAACACATCAATCGTTTCATCTGATCTTAGCTTACACATTCATTAAATGTGTCTGGCTAATAATCAAATTATGTTGCTATGCTTTGTGGAGAGTCTGTTCTCAGCAATGTCTCTATATTATGAATCATCCACCTGGCAGTACTAATTAATAATTGTGACCTGCTTAAGATGTACATTGCTGCCTCCAAACCTGACACCTATGACCTTCTTCAATTTTCAAGATGCAATGTTATGACTATTATTTGTTTCATATACATATATTTTTTTATATTGTTTGAGATAAATATTGACCAATCTAGTGGCATTACTAATGGTATTGACTACGTGCAGCAAGAAATCTTGCACCTGGGCTCAAATATCTAATTTGCGCCTCACATCAAGAAATCAATAGGGTTAAATATTTAATGTGCTTCCTCATTCGCTCAAGAAAACAATACTAATATATATTACTTGCGCTATTGGTGCCCTCTTCGCATACTCTTTAATTTCTTGAGAGATTGGGGCAGATTTTTCCGAGTACGTGGAGATACATTATGAAAAATACTTAAGGGTTTACACTTAATCCATCCTAGCCGAAGTATAGACTATATATATAGACTACGTATTTCCAAACTAAAATTTATTGAATGTGGAAAGTTGTCATTTTCAAGTTTAATTATGAATTAAAAAATGTTTAAAAAACACTGATATAAACTATGAAAAGATATTGAATTTTCGATGATTATTATAAATTCTCAACTTACGACGTGATACAATTATACGAGCTATGATAACATATTTTTAAACTATAAGTGTAACGTTGTCAGTTATTTGGTGAGAATTATTTAAAATTAATTTTATTGTGAAATTTTTAACAATTTTCGGTTGTTAAAAGTTTCACAATGTATCAAGAAATACGCCTGTGATCATGAAGGATATGAAGAAGGTTCACCAGGTAGAGGAGATAGTCGACGCTTGGGCAGAGCTGAATTCGAGGCTGAATACTTTGGAAGAAATAATGATAAAACTGAAGAGAAATATCCGCTGGAAGAATTAGAAAGCATTTGTGAGCATACTAAATCTATCATGGGCAACGGAAGGATCTTACAAATCTTAGGAAACACAACAGGACGGAATTCTGCTACAAAGAACCTGTATCATCCTGATGAAAATCAGGACGTTTTCATTGCTAAACAGATGAAATTCTTCTTCCAGGATGTTCTTAAAGACTACAAGGAGGTCGTTAGTCATAAAAATTTCATGGTGATTCAACTTAACGAAATCTTCAATTACTACATATAATTCAAATATTTAGTTTATTTCTATATCTCTTTTTTTAACTTTATTTTGCATGCGTATAATCATTTTTATTTTCATAATCTTTTCAATTAGTTGTAGTTTCTTTATTTTCGTCTTTTCTATGTATTAAGTATTATAGCAATTATATAAGTAAATAAAAAATAAAATCAAACCAACATTAAATATTTTTTCTTATTTTGAAAATAACAGATTTTTCAGAAATACTGCTCGCTTCGTTCAGTCCGGTTTGACAATTCAGAAACAAACAAAATTCAAATTTTGATCATACATTTAATTGCCATTCAGTCAAGTCTCTTTTTGTTCATTCCTTTTACGTATTTACTTCGTCGATTAGTACTGTTTAAAACTAACAATGCATTGTAATATTGCTGTATATAATATAATTTTAGATATTTCTACAAACCGTATGCATTAAAAACATATTGAATACTCTAAAAAGTGTAGTATTTGATTAACTTTGTGTATTTTAGTGAATAGTAAATTGAATTTAGTACAAGCTATGTTGTTAATCGTGGACGTTTGTGCAGAAACGAGTTATCAACTTGCACTGTTGGTTTTCTGTGGAACTTTTCAATCCTTTTTTCACCAAAGTAAAATTTAAATCCATAAAATTAAATATCCAAAAATGTTATTAAATTCTTCAGTATAATATGCGTTTTCATCACAAGTTTCCTGGAGAACGACTCGACTTTGTTGATTTCCACGTGCTCACAAACTTCGTAAAAATAAGCTGCCAATTTTTCCTCCAATGTATTTTTCATACATTAATGTTCGCTTTTTTCTCTGTACAGACAAGTCTTATCATACTTATTTTTATGCTGCTTAAATAAAAAACTGTAAGGCTGAAAGTAATGTATGAATCTATGTATTTTTGTGAACAAAAACCAAATAAAATTTCAATGTTGAAAAATTATTTATTTCAAAAATAATATGTGCAAAATTTCAGTTTTAACAATCTTATTTATTAAACAATAGTTTTATTAATATATATTTGTTACTGCAAATACAAAATTTCCGTTCCAAAAATGTAATTCATATTCAAAGAAGAGAGGTTTTCTAGTAAATAGACACTTTTCCGATAAAACGAAGAAAATCCTAGTTTTATAGACACCCTTAATAAGTATTTCGCTGAACCAATACAATTTAAAACAATATTTACTAGTAAAGTACAATTATTGCCGCCACGTTAAATATAATCATTATTTATGAGTGGAAATAAAACAAAAATGTATTTCTTTCAAGTAAATTTATTTTTTTTGCTGTAATTGGAAAAATCAATGTAGAAATTATTGATTATTAATTAAGTAATGTAAAAACTGAAAATGTTTTTAAAACAAAATGTTTTCATGTCAGTTACCAATGTTTTTTTCTAACAATTGGAAAATCTCTCGCATGGACGAGTTTATATATGTTTCATACATATAAGACGATGTCTTTGAAAAAAAAAGTGAATAGTTATAATTAAAAATTAAATATAATTGATTTTTCTAAATAGAAATTGTATGTACAGGGTAGTTTGTCATAAGGTACAAAACATTCTGAGATGTCGAAAGTACACCGTTTAAACTACATCGCGCTGATGGCCGCCAGGAATATAGCCGGGAAATGTCGCAGAATAGAACTAGTTGGAGGTAAAAAATTAGCGTCATATTTTAAGGAAACTCACGTTTACGCAGAAAACCTGGAACACATACTTGTCTCGAAGGATATGGAAGATGAAATCAACAGGATCCAGATGTTGAAGCCTTCTTTATCGTGCACAACGGCTACGAAGAAATTGCAGAAAAAGGGCTTTTTCTTAAAAATTGACATAAAAGAATTTTATAATATTTTTGGAAATATCTCCAAGCATTTTAGCTCGATGAAGAAGTCCAGAGAAACGATGACTCCAACAGAAATAGGCGAGTTGGTAACTCGCTTTTGCAACAACGTACACGATTTATTTGAAGCTTGGGAGGAACTGTACCTTAGGTTGATAGATCTAGAAGAAATGATCCAACCAACGGAACACACGAAAGTGATAGTAGAAGACCCAATTGAACAATTACATGAGTTTCATGTGAATAGCAGAAAAACAGAAAAACATAAATCTCCCATGTCATCGGATACAAATGTCAGGGAACGTCTGTTAAAAATAAGGAAGAATAACAGAAAATTACATCTGATTCTTCGAGAATCAGATTTCGACCTGTCGGACAACG